ACCCCAGCCCCCGCCACAAGAAGAGCCGGTGGCGGTTCTGGTGGTGGCAAGGGCGACGGTGGTGCTGCTGGAGTTGGCAACTTGGGCAGCCTAGCTCTCCCACACGGCACTGCATTCTGTGTTGGCTCAGTCTTTACCACTGGCACAGGGGTGGGTTCTTGCGCGGTCGGCCACGCTTCGGCCGCTAGGATTTAGCTGCATCCGGTAGAATATGCAGCTGTACATGCTTTTTGATACGTGCGGTCAGGTGTTGAAGGGTCCTACCAACGTACCGGCTACCACAATTCCGGCACTCAAATTGGTAAACCAAATGGCTCAAAATGTCCAGGGATCGGCCCAGAACGGTAATTTCTGTTTTATCCGGGTTTACCTTCAGAGCCCATCCGTTGAGGACGTCACCGATAACCGGCTCCAGGTCACCCAACCAGCCAGACTCTGTGCTGATGAAATCCGCGTCGTCGGCGTACGCAATTTCAAATGGCAAGCCGAGATCCGATGATGGCCGAGCCCTGGCAGTAGCCGTGCTCCTTACATCCCGCAAAGCTGCCTCGAGATATACCACAAATAGAACAGGGGACAAGGAGTCGCCCTGGGGCGTTCCGATAGTGGTATCGGCGGATTCGGATGTTGCTGTGCCGATGCGTACACAGAAGGACGTGTTGGCTAGTAGGACACGGATCTCGTCCTTGTCCAGGAAGGAATTGAGAACTGCCAGTAGACGGTCTCTGCGGATGCAGTCAAATGCCTTTGACATGTCGATGCCGAGGACCACCAATTGCTTCTTGTTGCACTCTTTTAGAATAATAATAATAATAATTGTAAAAGAGAAAAGGACATATGGATACGAGTTTAGAGTAACTCTCCATCACTGTAACATGATACTATATACAGTCAGAAAGTGCAATAACTAGGCACAAAACTGACAGAGTACTGAGACATTCGACGTCCTGACACCTAACTTTAACACATCTCCGTAGCGCTAACCGACAGCCTTCCAACTTGGAAGGTTCAAGGTTATGGAAAGACCAAAGAGGGGAAGGCAAGGGCAACGAAAACGAGCAAAAGCCACAGTCCCAACGGAACAAAGAATGTCGATTGTTACTGGACGATGACGAGACCAGTACGATATTTGACAAAGCGGTCTAACTACAATTCGAAGCAGCAAAGCAGCACACCACCCAACTTGGGTGGGTCATAAATATCAAAGATAAGTAAAGAAAGGACTGTATATAGTATCATGTTACAGTGATGGAGAGTTACTCTAAACTCGTATCCATATGTCCTTTTCTCTTTTACATTTATTTATGGCTCAACATCCGAGTTTCAAATTGCACACCTGATGAGCCGTCACGAACCATACGGCGAAACGTACGTCGTGTGAAACAACTTGTTTTGTAGTTAACTAGTCCATCACAATGTCATGCATGAGGAGTACTGTAGGAGTTTGGCTTTCGGCTTGTACAATTCGTTTTCGCAAAGCTTCCCTTTCTTTACTTATCTTTGATATTTATGACCCACCCAAGTTGGGTGGTGTGCTGCTTTGCTGCTTCGAATTGTAGTTAGACCGCTTTGTCAAATATCGTACTGGTCTCGTCATCGTCCAGTAACAATCGACATTCTTTGTTCCGTTGGGACTGTGGCTTTTGCTCGTTTTCGTTGCGCTTGCCTTCCCCTCTTTGGTCTTTCCATAACCTTGAACCTTCCAAGTTGGAAGGCTGTCGGTTAGCGCTACGGAGATGTGTTAAAGTTAGGTGTCAGGACGTCGAATGTCTCAGTACTCTGTCAGTTTTGTGCCTAGTTATTGCACTTTCTGACTGTATATAGTATCATGTTACAGTGATGGAGAGTTACTCTAAACTCGTATCCATATGTCCTTTTCTCTTTTACATTTATTTATGGCTCAACATCCGAGTTTCAAATAATAATAATAATAATATTAACTGGTTTTGAGGGAAAGGGACAAATAATAATAATAATAATAATAATTTGAAACTGGGATGTTGAGCCATAAATAAATGTGGAAGAGAAAAGGACATATGGATACGAGTTAAGAGTAACTCTCCATCACTGTAACATGATACTATATACAGTCAGCAAGTGCAATAACTAGGCACAAAACTGACAGAGTACTGAAACATTCGACGTCCTGACACCTAGCTTCAACACATCTCCGTAGCGCTAATCGACAGCCTTCCAACTTGGAAGGTTCAAGGTTATGGAAAAGACCAAAGAGGGGAAGGCAAGCGCAACGAAAACGAGCAAAAGCCACAGTCCCAACGGAACAAAGAATGTCGATTGTTACTGGACGATGACGAGACCAGTACGATATTTGACAAAGCGGTCTAACTACAATTCGAAGCAGCAAAGCAGCACACCACCCAACTTGGGTGTTTGTCAAATATCGTACTGGTCTCGTCATCGTCCAGTAACAATCGACATTCTTTGTTCCGTTGGGACTGTGGCTTTTGCTCGTTTTCGTTGCGCTTGCCTTCCCCTCTTTGGTCTTTTCCATAACCTTGAACCTTCCAAGTTGGAAGGCTGTCGGTTAGCGCTACGGAGATGTGTTGAAGCTAGGTGTCAGGACGTCGAATGTTTCAGTACTCTGTCAGTTTTGTGCCTAGTTATTGCACTTGCTGACTGTATATAGTATCATGTTACAGTGATGGAGAGTTACTCTTAACTCGTATCCATATGTCCTTTTCTCTTCCACAATAATAATAATAATAATAATAATAATCAACGCAATAAATAGAGTAAGCTGCGCACTCAGTACAAACACCATAAGCAAAACTTGTTTTCATGTATAATAAATAAGCTTGTTCCTAAACGTTTTCGTCGCCATCTCATCAGAGGATTACTGGCAAATCAACAAAAGCTCTTAACTCAATATATATACGCACAATGCAAGTAATAATTTTAGACCCTAACTAGCGCGATAAAATGAGAGAAAAGCGTGGCCGGCCACCGAAGAAACCACCGGATGGTGTGTCTGCGGGACCAGTGACTCGCTCTAGGGCGAGGTTAGCAGAGTCTTTATCGTCTCCGTCGTTGTCGTCATCGTCGTCGTCAGCGTCTTCCTCATCTCCCTCCTCCTCTTCATCAACATCAACAGCCATTGGAACGTCAAAGGGAGCATCATCGCAGCAGGCAGTGCCAGCAACGGACGTGCCTTTGGTACGGACATCTACATCGGCCTCGTCTGGATTGGCAGTAGCGGCAAGGAATGTCAGGTCGGTTTCATTGTCACGTAATTCCAAAGTATGTACTGGTTCTAGTAGCGTTGTTAGGGTGTATGAATCTTCTATCGCCAACCATCTTGTTCAGAATAGTGATTGTCGTTCTAGTTATGCTGATGATTGCTTTTCTGTTTGGTCTCGTTCACGTAGTCAAAGGTATCTGCGTGTATTGGAGTCTATTTACATTTTTACCACCAGGCCGATTTTGTGTAGACAGAAAAAGAATTTGTTTACGTTGAAATTGTTTGTGAATTTAGATCAGTAGTTCTCGTTTGTGGTTGCTTGGTAACTTTCTAGTGGTGAATTTATCGCATTTGTTGTCACCTGATATCGTTGAATGGTGTAATGTTTCTTTCAGCTCTCATTTTATCGCGCTAGTTAGGGTCTAAAATTATTACTTGCATTGTGCGTATATTATATTGAGTTAAGAGCTTTTGTTGATTTGCCAGTAATCCTCTGATGAGATGGCGACGAAAACGTTTAGGAACAAGCTTATTTATTATACATGAAAACAAGTTTTGCTTATGGTGTTTGTACTGAGTGCGCAGCTTACTCTATTTATTGCGTTGATTACATTTTTATCTCCACGGAAGCTTTTTAATAATAATAATAATAATAATGTGGAAGAGAAAAAGACATATGGATACGAGTTAAGAGTAACTCTCCATCACTGTAACATGATACTATATACAGTCAGAAAGTGCAATAACTAGGCACAAAACTGACAGAGTACTGAAACATTCGACGTCCTGACACCTACTGTATATAGTATCATGTTACAGTGATGGAGAGTTACTCTTAACTCGTATCCATATGTCTTTTTCTCTTCCACATTTATTTATGGCTCAACATCCGAGTTTCAAATAATAATAATAATGATAAATCCAAAGGTATATTCTAGGAACTGCAAGTAAATCTGACACAAGACGTTCTATTATTCCACAGAGTTGTTGTTTGTTTGTTTGTTGTGCTTTTATTTATAGTCGTTCAACCAAACAGGCAATGGTGCCTTCTCACAAGGAGACGACTTGAAGGAGAGGAGAGGGCAGAACGAGAAGGGGGAGGGGAGAAAAAACCGGCACGGAAGGGAGATAGAATGGAAAGGATAATGAAGTATGAGAAGCAGGAGTAAGATCCAGATCTTTGACACCGTACAAAAGCAGTCTAAGCAACAGGGAGAACAAGCAGGTCTTAGAGAAAGCTCCTTCCGATCTTGCTCGATCCTTCATTCATAATAATTATGACAGCTGATTGGCACCTTCCTCTTCCTCCCTTGACCATGACATTGCTCTTATTTGTCTACAACTAGGCACGTGGCATGTATGACCATGTTTACCTTATTTGTCTACAACTACATGTAGGCACGTGGCATGTATGAATGTTGTTTCATAAACACGTACAGGTACAAGGTGGGTCGTGCATCATGGCTGATTGTATACCCTAGTGCGTAGCCCTCGGTCGTGCACCGACCCGTATACGCGTAGCCCGCAATGCCCCCCGTACCATGTGTTATTGTATGCGCAAGGTATCGATTTGAACTCCGTAAAGTCAATCCTTGTTTTAGGCTATGCCAGGCTATGCCACTGCATAGTTGGCAGCAAACGCCTAAATAGGCAGGCCGACCACGGGGTACAAATTTGTAGTGGGCAAGCCGTATTTGGATATCGCTACGTTACTGCCTCAGCTCCACGAGAAGACGCTCGCTCTTACTTCGCAGAATTTCGAAACAGTGTAACTTGTTAGTAAATGTTTGGGTTTGTTCGGTTCCTTTGTGGAGTGGCTGCTCTCCGTTGACTGCGGAGTTCAACAGTTGTGGACTCGACTGACCGCTGACTAGGTAAGAAGATTGTTGTAATTTGTAATTGCGAGAACTGCGAGAAAGTGACATCGAAATGGACTACCACTCGCGCACTGCCTACTGAAAAGACCAAAGCTTTCCCTTTAGAAGACCTAGCACCCATGACTCTATTAGCTAAATCATTGTGTATTCACTGGATATGAAATACGGATAAGAAGAACTCCCGTTATTACAAACAAACACAACTGGTCTCTTGATGTTCGTCCTACAGAGGTTTGACTGTGTACTAAATAGAAAAGATGCAGTCTTTGCTTTGCATGTTGACGACCATGGTCCATGAGTGCAGGTTCTGCTGCTCTGTTGCTATGAATCATCGATGATGTCAGATCTCCTAAGCTAGGAACAGAATTAATACTTCGAAGTATTCTAAATGATTATGATTAAATCAACGAACCAAACGCTACATTCCACATAATTATTATGCAAGAGGTAGCGCAAGTGCGGCCTATGATTGTTACGCCATTTATGAAGTAAATGTTGAGTCACCTCCACCATTGCACTGCGCTCTTTAGCCGACTCGACCCTCCTGCACACAACCATCACCTTTGCGAGGACACTTCCGTAGACGATATTGATATACTTCTTCAGACAGCTGTTTCGCTAATACATAGCTCATCAGTGAAGGTAGATGTTGAATGATTAAAAATATAGACCAAACTGCTATTATATAGGGGGTTTCCACATACAAAACTGGCATAGCTGAGGTGATAACGCGGGAAAAGGAAAGTGTGAAGTACTGTTGACGCGCATTGGACATGCATGCAGCGTCGGAAATTCGGCGCGGAAAATCAATCACTATTCAATACAGAAATAACGTGCCAGAATCAGAGTACTATGTAGCTAGTGAGAGTCTGTGTACTAGTATTGCAGTTGTCCGAGCGCCATGAAGGCCTGCAAACGCACCTCACGACCCGCCGACGTCGACAGCCACAGCAGCCCTTGGGGCATGACACTGTACTGCTCGCCCGTCGCGCCAAGACACTTGGCAGTCACTAGGCTTCATGCCACCAATGTTGTCCGCAAGCTACCTTGTTATCTGCCCATCACCCACTGCCGCTGACACGCTGGGAGGCCCCGCGGCATTCGCCCAGTATATCGTCATCAGAGCTGTGTCGACGGTACAATAACGCTGGTAGAAACAAGCAGTTGGTTGTATGGTATTGTGTCCTCCGGATTGTCCCTTGACTCGTCTTGTCCCTCTTCTTGCTCTGACGCTAACGGTGCACGTATCACACGTATCAGGGTCTAGTCGGCTAAAGAGCGCAGTGCAATGGTGGAGGTGACTCAACATTTTCTTCAATGGCCGAGAGCTCTGTCGCACCCTGTAATAATATTTATGTATCAATACGGTACGTTCGGGCCTGATTGGAAATTTTTATTTTCATTGCTATCAGGTTCGGCCTCATTTTCTCTGTGCTGCGCTGATGAGTTCAAAAAGAACGAAACAGCATGCTGTCCGCAGATTGAGTATGTATCAATAGTAATACTCTTTATTTCAGGATTACCCACAGGCTGGCGCCTATCGGGGGGATCTCCTGTTTGTACTATGTCAACACCTAACACTGAGACCGCGTGCAAGTGGCACCAATGGAAGGTGCCATCGCGACACTCCGGCTCACACATACCCATAGTACACATACAGTAGAGGAATTAATAATACCGTGGAGTCAGGGTGCTAGTTGAAGAAAAGACATTATGCAGCGGTGTGCTGATGTGTGTTAAGAGCACTGGCTCGAAAGGGAGGTTATTAATGACGGTATTTTAGACAGCTCCTGGAACGTCATAAGACGCCAATTGATCAGTTGAGCTGAAGGGTGAGAGCTAACCACGCAGAAAAGATCATACGGAGAGGGAGGACGGAGAGAAAAGAGAGAGAGAGAGAGAGAGAGAGAGAGAGAGAGAGAGAGAGAGAGAGAGAGAGAGAGAAAGAGAGAGAGAGAGAGGGAGAGAGAGAGAGAGAGAAGAGAGAGAAAGAAAGAGAGAGAAAGAGAGAGAGAGAGAAGAGAGAGAGAGAGAGAGAGAGAGAGAGAGAAGAGAGAGAAAGAGAGAGAGAGAGAGAGATTGCCAAGTACTGTAAATCAAAAGTCATATTTGGCGTATATTCATTTTCGGCCATTTCTGGCCAGAGAATAATCAGAATATTTGGCAGAAATTTTGTTGCGGCCGAAAATTTTGCTTTGCAAGAGTGTGGCAGCGCAGCAATACAGCTCGAAATTGTAATGCTGCCGAATGTGTCTTGGCCCTGGGAGGCCGAAATTTGAACAGGCCGAAACTTGCAGACTTAAAGTATTCATGCAGTTTACTGTGGTTCTGTTTCCACTGCAGCTTGCTGTGGTGCAGGCAGATCTGGAGCGGTCGGTTGGTGCACCCAATGTGTAGGAGGTGGAATCTGAAACAAGGCAACGACCGACGACGGGAGCGTGTGTGTGTGTTGCACGCACTGCAATGTGAGTGAGATCACAGCTGTTCGCCCCATCAGACCCTGCAGGGGCGTAGAAGATCCCGCTTCTAGGGTGGTGCACGGCCGCACAAGTAGGATGGATGGTGCATGTCATTCATGGTCATTATGAGGATGCTGAACCTAGGTCGAATTTTTTAGGGGGTGCACGTGCCCCCCCCCCCCCCCCCCATGCCCCATGCCTCATACATGGGCTACGTGTCCGTGTGTGTCGCGTAGGAGCAGTGTTCTGGCACACGCATGCATGTCTGCACTAGCCCTTGACGGATAATGCTGGCAGAAAAATGACAGAATTTGGTACTGTTTGTTTGCTTGTTTCATTCATATAACCGACGAGGAGACAACAGTCGTAAAAAAGCAATGAAAAATATCAATTGTGCACTCATAACCATGTATAAACAATTAAAATGAGACAATTCCAGAACGTTTTCGTGTGACTATCATCAGTGGAACATCGTCACATAGTAAGAATCACTAAAACAACCAGTCATATAGCTAGAGTAATATGAAAAGAAGCGTGAGAATGCAGCACAGCTAGCGGTTATGCATAACGCGTGTAGCGTGAACCTTTGCAGTGTATCTGAGAAGGGTACACATTTTAAACAATACGCACTCACCAGTTTTGTCCACACGCACTCACAGCTGCCACATTCATCTACTGCTACCATTCTCAGATACACTGGAAAGGTTCACATTACACGCGTTATGCATAACCGCTAGCTGTGCTGCATTCTCACTCTTCTTTTCATATTTACTCTAGCTATATAACTGGTTGTTTTAGTGATTCTTACTATGTGACGATGTTCCATTGATGATGGTCACACGAAAACGTTCTGGAATTGTTTCATTTTAAGCGTTTATACATGGTTATGAGTGCACAATTGATATTTTCATTGCTGTTTCATTCATGTTTGGTTTTTTTTTTACTATGTTCACATAACCATATGTGCATGGATAAAGAAATGGAGCATACTTCAAGGAAGGGCCCACAATAAGGTTGTTATGGTTCTGCCCATTTCACTGGTTTCTGCTTCGTGGCAGAATCCGCCAAATTTTGAACATTATCTGCCAAGGGCGAGTCTGCACATACAAGGGTGGTATGGTTAAGGGTGAGTATGCACGCACAAGGAGTGCAAGGAAAGAGTGCAGCACCATGCTTGGGACGGTATGGAAAAGTGCTATTCTCGACTGTATGGATGAAGAGCAGGTCTGGAGACAGAGAGTGTTGATGACACAGGTTGCACCGATGCAATGGTATACGTACCGTAATGTCGCGTATCAAACCCGGGCTTATTCCTATAAAAGCCGATGCCAGGGCTAGGCATCTATACACATCAGGCTTCTATTCAAACCAGGTATTTCTGTGTATGTGTATCAGCACAAAAAAAACAGGCTTGTGTGCCGTGTCTTGAAAAATCAGGCTTGCTTTCAAAATACTCTAATTTCAGAAATTTTCGGTGCTCAGTATTTTCGGTATGAGGGCAAAAGGCCAGGTTAGGTGAACAGAATTTTTCGGTACAGAAAAGCAGTTCCCTATTGGATTATGTGTTTTGGTGTTTGTTCGGTGTACTGAAATTTTAGGTATGAAACAGACGCACCGAAAGTACCGAAAATAAAAGTACACCGAAAATTTGAGAAATTACAGTAGGCTTCTATACAAGACGGGCTTTAAACAAGACGCGACGGTATTCACGAAAAACAAACTTCAAGCTCCTCCACGTCAACGTCTTGGATTTTTTCCATAATTTATTATACTTTTCAGTATACCCAACTCGCAGCACACTAACAGTCCTTGGCTACACCACGTACAGTTGAAGTTGTCCGAATTTTCACCCAGGAGGGCATCATCCCTACAGTGGAGTTCTTTAAAAAAGGTTTTTTTATTATACTTGATTAGTTTTCAGGCAACCTGCCTACACTCAAGAGAGCACTGGAATGCAGTGCTCTCTTGAGTGTAAGCAGGTTGCCTGCAAACTATTCAAGTGCAATGAAGCTGCGTGAAGCGTCCTTCAAGATTTTGAAATAATTTATTATGTTTGATCTTCTCATCACGTGGACCATGGGGATAAAGCTAGAGTGAATTCATCTGCACTCTTCCACGGGTGCCACAGTCTGTATAGAATAATTTCCATGGAATTCAATTCTTTGATGATGCGCCTGAAGATGTGTGTTCATGTAAAAAAATGTGCACGAATGCTGTCCTCATTTTAACTTTTTTTCTACAAAATCCACATATCTCCAGACACTGGGGTGAATACTGGAATGTGGTGGTGGTGGTGGGACCCATTAAGCTCAGCCAACCACAGGTCTTCGCACAAGGCACAGCTGTGCAGTACACAATCGCACTGCGTCAACGAAACAAGCTGGCTCAATCTTCAGCCGCCGACGCAGTCCTCTCTAGTCGGACCGCCACGAGAAAAGTGGTCGCAAGATGTCTGCTCCTTCCTTGTGCCTGGGCTGCTCTGTCAGTGCCAAAGTGGACCAGGCATGTACAGTAAAACCTGTCAAGGCGACCCCTAGGATAATGCGACCACCTGTCCAAGAGGACCACTACAACCGGGAACAAGGGACGCTATTCTCAGTCAAATGACCCTGGATAAGGAGGACACCTGCTTACAAAGACCACGTTTTGAAGGTCCCTTGAGCGGTCGTCTTGCACAGGTTTCACTGTGTCTTGTATAAAAACCGCGGCTTCTATGGCTTTCTTGGTGAAATTTTGCAGGCTTCTTTATTATGAGACAGGCTTCTATATGAGACAGGCTTCTATATGGGACAGGCTTCTATATGGGACAGGCTTCTATACAGGTTTCACTGTATTTGGTGGTAATGCAGGACAATTGATGATATAAAACTTTAAAGTAAATAGAAAGGATCAAGAAGTTACGAGTTATGACTAACCGAGTCCGCCAGTGTGACGAAAGAAAAAGTTCTGGAAGGTCGCTGGTTTGCGCTTCGTAGATGTGTTGGAGCCAGGTGTCAGGTCGTTGAATGCCTCAATATCCTTGTCAGTTTTGTGCCTTGTTGTCGCACTATCTGTCTGTATAGGATCTCGTTACCTTGAAGGACTGTTAGTCATAACTATAGTGCGTTTCAAAAGTATAGACCTCTAGACTTTTTTGAATTATTCAAATTTTTGAGAAATTTCTTCAGAAAATTACCCAGGCAGCTCACGCAATTTTTCCCATATAAATTTCTAAGCGATTGGATAGCAGACGCCCAATTTTGAAATTTTTTTGCCCAAAGTGATCACAGATTTTATGTGGTATAGATGCTGTCCTGACGGTTTTTTGAAACCAGAGGTCTGGACTTTTGAAACCCACTATAGTAACTTAAAGGTCTTTTCTCTTTACTTAATGCTTTTTGGCTCAACATCCGAGTTATAATTGATGATATACTTCAGTATTATACCGGATATGGCACTTTCTCTCTATCTCCCTACCTTTCTATCTACCGCATTTTCCGGTGTGTTTGCCGCACTTCAATTTAAAACGCCTAAAATAACTCAAAAATCGCCCCAACGGTAAATTTTATGTCCGAAAAGGGGGATGCGGCTTAGACCCCGGAAAATGCAGTGTACTTCGCCCTTTCTCTCTCTCTCTCTCTCTCTCTCTCTCTCTCTCCTCTCCGTCTCTTGCAGATGGAGCAATTCATGAAGCTGGGTACCCTCTCCACCGTTCTGTTGCTGATCGGCATGTCTCCAAGTTTCTGTGCAAGCACTTGCACCAAAACGGGGACAGAACTCAACTGTAGCAATAGCAGCCTTACCGCATTCACGTTTCCTACCTCACCACAACATGCAGCGGATATCATACAAGAATTGTAAGCTAATAGGTTTGAGCCTTTCTTGTTTGCATCTTTCGTCGTGATCAGTTTGGCCACTTGATCTGAGCTCCGCAGATGAATCTTTTGCCAGCTGTTTTCAGCTTGAGGTACAAAACCTCAAGGTCGAACAAGCTAGCAGTTTCGAGACTGTGCAAATTCGGTGTGATATAAAAATTTCCCAGGATCAACACCCGAAGTCCAAGTGCAAAATGCCAATTGCGCCAAATAGGCCTTATGCACGTTGTACAGATGTACAAAGTTCTGTACTAGGACCGTAGGTGTGTACAGACCCGGTTGGGTGTTCATTGTGTGCTATGCATGCACGTTTGACCAATTTTAGCCTCATAATTAATGGCAAACAATCGCTTTTCCAGCTTTTCACTTTGGTTAGAACTAAAAACTAGCTAGATCTTAGTCAGAAAAAAGTTTTCGTATGAAATGCCTTCAGAGCCCATTTCTTAGTGGAAATTGAAGAAACCACAATAGGGCTCTGCACATTCAACACCCAACCGGGTCTACGGGATTCTACGAGATTCTACGAGATTTCGTGCATCTGTACAACGTGCATAAGGCTTATGTACAGTCAACTTCATTTATAACGACATTCGGCGGGCATCAAAAAAGTGTCCTTATTCGCGAAGTGTCGTTATACCCGAAGTCTCATTATATGTATTACAGTTGGATGAAACTTTGCTCTGGGCATGGACATTCTGTCGTTATTCGCGAATTGTCGTTATATCCGCAGTCGTTATTAGCGAAGTTGACTGTATGTCCTTTTGCGGCCTGCTTTCTGATTCGTCTCCCACAATTGAAGCTGAGTGCAAATGTTTGTTAACGGCATTCTTTGATCTGAGGAATAACTATATGCGGGCCATGTCATGTCGCTTCTTTTCTGTGCCGATTGGCTGCATCCATGTACCCCGTGTGCCTGGCCTGGAGTTCCCAGTTGACTGTGGGTTGCAGTACGATTGGAAAAAAACGATCCAGGCAGGACTTGAACCAGGTGCCTCTCGTATCTCAATCATGGCCTTTGACCAAACCACTGTGCAGTATTAAAGGCTGTCCTTATAGAATGATTTACCGGAAGAAAAGGAAAGTCAATACCTCAAACTTGTGAATATCTTGAAGTGCTGGTGTGTTGTAGTTGTATACTTTATTTATAGCAGGAATCAAAACGGGCGTATGCCTATTGGCACTGGACCCAGTGGGAATATAATTTAATGGATCGTGTGGGAAAGTAGAGATTGGAAAAAAGGAAATAAAGAAAGTGAAGGTTGGTTTCACTTTCTCCTGTTACGAGTGTATTGGATCGAGAGTGTTTGCTTTGTGGTTTTCCCTGGCGATGATGATGCAGAGACCTGTCTAACAACCGTCTGGACCACTTTCCTCCACTTCCGGCGCTGCCAAGAATTTTGACAATGTAAGTGTTATGTTCGGCCTGCAATACTCGAATGAGTCCATTGTGGGACAAGACGAGGTATGATTTTATTTACAACGAGCAAGCACATTATAATACTGATGAGAGAGACAGTACGGAGAGAGACAGTATGGAGAGAGACAGTACGGAGAGAGACAGTACGGAGAGAGACAGTACGGAGAGAGACAAAAAGGAGAGAGAGACAAATCAGACAATACAACGACAAACACTACACACAACAGAGAGTGGGTGTGTTTCACCGGCTGCTCGATGCAGCACGAACATAACGCAATGGCGGTGATGCAAGTGACAACAGTGCACACAAGGGCGTCAAAAGACATTCCACATTGGCTCGTCCATGAAACGGCGGGGGAGGGGGACCCGGGGGCCCACCCGGGAAATATTTTGGAAAATTGGGCCAATATTTCATTGTTTCAGAAATCACAGGATAAACGTATTGGTTTAGGTTTGGTCGCCCCTGCCAAACTGGTTCCGACGCCCCTTGCACAGGATGCATGGCTTGTGTATATACGGGCATTATTATTATTATTTGAAACTCGGATGTTGAGCCATAAATAAATGTAGAAAGGAAAAAGACATTATGGATACGAGTTAAGAGTAACTCTCCATCACTGTAACATGATACTTTATACAGTCAGAAAGTGCAATAACTAGGCACAAAACTGACAGAGTACTGAGACATTCAACGTCCTGACACCTAGCCTACACACATCTCCGTAGCACTAACCGACAGCCTTCCAACTTGGAAGGTTCAAGGTTATGGAAAGACCAAAGAGGGGAAGGAGAAACGTACGTCGTGTGGAACAACTTGTTTTGTAGTCAACTAGTCCATCACAATGTCATGCATGAGGAGTACTGTAGGAGTTTGGCTTTCGGCTTGTACAATTCGTTTTCGCAAAGCTTCCCATTTCTTTACTTATCTTTGATATTTATGACCCACCCAAGTTGAGTGGTGTGCTGCTTTGCTGCTTCGAATTGTAGTTAGACCGGTTTGTCAAATATCGTACTGGTCTCGTCATCGTCCAGTAACAATCAACATTCTTTGTTTCGTTGGGACTGTAGCTTTTGCTCATTTTCGTTGCGCTTGACTTCCCCTCTTTGGTCTTTCCATAACCTTGAACCTTCCAAGTTGGAAGGCTGTCGGTTAGCGCTACGGAGATGTGTGTTGGCTAGGTGTCAGGACGTCGAATGCCTCAGTACTCTGTCAGTTTTGTGCCTAGTTATTGCACTTTCTGACTGTATAAAGTATCATGTTACAGTGATGGAGAGTTACTCTTAACTCGTATCCATAATGTCTTTTTTCTTTCTACAATCATTGTTTTTTTTTTAAATAGAAGCTTCTCTGCGTTGGCATCAATGCAACGAGCATGATTGTACCGTGCAATTATAGAAGCATTGTCCTCAGTATGGATTTAGCATGAGCATCTCCACAGAATGGAAACATAATTAGTGTGTTTGGAACAGCCACCTTCTTCTTCAATCAAAGTTGAAGTCGCAACATATCAGTTTGTAAAGGAAAAAGAAGCAATGAAAATCGACGCGTCACCGCCGGTCCTGCTGTATGTTACCCTAAAAGGACTCCGTAACAACCAAACTATCGCGCAAGAATGATCACCTTGCCTTCCGTAGTGCCAACATCTACATCTGTGTAGTATTCCTTGATGGAAAAGCCAACACTACACTCCATATGCAATGAGTTTTGCTTGCTGCCAAGGGTAAATAGACTACTTGAGTCAATACAATGAGTTGTTCATTTTCGTCCTGGCTTCCCGTTTTATAGTACTGTAAAAGCCATTATTCTAACGAGGCACATATATAACGATTTCCCAAAATTGACTAGTTTACGTGTACCAAAGGTAACGATTTTCACTCATTCTCAACGCTCAATAGGACAGTATATGTATCGATTTCTGTATAACGATTTCTATTTTAACGACAGATGTCTCCTCGTTAACTCGTTAGAGTTAGCACTTCGTTATATATATTCGGTTAACGTAGGAGTTAACCGTTGTTAACAGTCACGTACCATTGCTTCGCTGTTCGCCTTTATAACGGGTTGCATAACCCTCCTTGCGTGTGTTCACAATCTTCCTCTCTCTCTACATACTGCTATGTATCATAGACCACATGCCCACGCTCTGCGCATGCGCAGATTTCCTGTGCGCACAACAGAGCTTGCTGTCTTTCCAGCGCGCGCGCACGCGCGTGTGTGTCTACTCTATACTCTAGCATGGGGAGTAGAATGGTGTGTGTCTACTCTATACTCTAGCATGGGGAGTAGAATGGTGTGTGTCTACTCTATACTCTAGCATGGGGAGTAGAATGGTGTGTGTCTACTCTATACTCTAGCATGGGGAGTAGAATGGTGTGTGTCTACTCTATACTCTAGCATGGGGAGTAGAATGGTGTGTGTCTACTCTATACTCTAGCATGGGGAGTAGAATGGTGTGTGTCTACTCTATACTCTAGCATGAGGAGTAGAATGTTAAATATGGCTTTTACAGTATATACATGTATGTACATACATGTACATACATGTATATGTATGTACATGTATGTACATGTATGTACATGTATGTACATGTATGTACATGTATGTATATGTATGTATATGGGCCACAGCCAGCCAAAACATGTCTTAGGGTGAACAAATGCATTCCAGAAAAAATGTCACTTTGCTCGCCAGCTGCTTGGACTAGACCGGGTAGTAAGTGTGAGACCATAGTCGACAAGACGCTCACGCCAATGGTTGATGAATGAATCACAGAGTGAACGTGCTCGACAGAAACAATTCTTCATTCCGTCATGTCTGGAAAAATTACGAAACCCCAAAGACATGTTTTAGCTGACTGCGGCCCATATTGTTACTATTGTATTTCGCATAAGGGGCAGTCCAAGGTTACCAATAGTATTTACAAAACGAAATGTCCTCCCCCCCCCCCCCCCCCCCCCGGCCCCTCGCAGTTCTTCACTGACTGACAGTACTTTTAGGCACCCAGGATGGCAGAGGTCGTATCTGTTCACGGGGGAGACAGATGAATCCCGGGACATACCACCCTGGGGCCTAATAAATTACAACTCCGAGGAGAGGGCAACTTTGTCTAATAGTTGTTGTTTATTTAGAACAAAGAGGAAGAAATGTTTCATTCGCATGCGTATATCTGGTGAGGGAGCTGACGTCATGCAGTGAGGTCGCTACATACTGTAGCCAGATTGCTAGTGTACTAGGTACTAGCACAAACATTCATACAGTATGCATAGCCACAGTGATAGATACAGTCAACTTTGCTTACAACAACACTCGGCGGCGGGGCATCAAAAAGGTGTCCTTATTCGCGAAGTGTCGTTATACCCGAAGTCTAATTATAATTTTATTATGTATTACAGTGGGATGGGACTTTGCTCTGGGCATGGAAATTCTGTCGTTATTCACGAATTGTCGTTCTATCCGCAGTCTCTATTAGCAAAGTTGACTGTACCTGTACTTCAAAACAATCACTAGCTACTATTTTTTTACCTGCACAATATTGCAGCACGAGTAGTTTCTTTTTAAATTTATCGATGTGCTGTTTTTTTTAAAGAAATGAAATCAAAAAAAAATGAAATCAATCGAGTTCTGACCGGCAGTACTAAGGGGGCGGAAGACCAAGATATTGTCTGTGTTTGTGACCACAACCCCAACTCATTCTATGTCTGCATCTGATTAACAGAAATCTGTCCCACAACCGAATGAAAGATTGGCCGTCCGGTTCTGATCTTCCCGCGACACTGACCTCACTGTAAGTATCTACTTTAAAGTGAGAAACTTTCGCTAGAGATTTAATTTCGCTATTTTCGCGACCATCATACATTCGCGAATATAAATTGCCGCAAACTGCTCTGTACATTGATTGTGGACAGTACAGGGTTCGACTGAAGAGACAGAATCGCAAACGTTTCTCATCGTGAACCAGCCCGATTTATGAAAACGTTAAATTTGTGAGCCGCGAAAGTGTGTCGCTCTACAGTGCCGTATTTGCCCGATTGTAAGGCACGCAGATCCCCTTTGGGGTCCAAAAAAAGGAGCAAAAAACGAAAGTTGTCAGAATGAGGCCATATCCGGCTCATTTTCCTCCTGAAGTGATGAACTTTCCGCTGGTGTAATTTTTTATGCGGTAAACAACACGACGGTTGGGAAATTTTAAAAATTCAAACCAACTCCCACTGCGAATTTGTAAAAAATCAGCTGATCTCCACTTTGAATGCAGTTCGCAAGCGCGATCAATCTTCGTTCCGGTTCACTGCGTGGATCGCGGAGGGTGCCAAGAGCGCCAGCTCTTTGTGTGTGTGTGCCGTGTTGGCTTGTAGTTGTACCCCGTACCGACCCGTACATCTACTCAGCTCTGCAGTCAGCAGGTCAGCACTGGTACGGTGTCAGCACGAACAAAAAAATGCAAATCCGTGTCAAAGGAAGTACAGAAAAAGTTGGAAATTGGCGCGTCCGCTGTTCTCTGTAGCTGTTGTCTTCTGGTCATTGGCAATAAGAGGAGATAGTCCGCTAACTACAGAGCCAAGAAGCGTGTTTTCTACAGAAACCAGTTCCAGAGCTCCAAGCGCAGAGATCTGGAGAAAGAAAACGAGTCTGCATCTCGTGCTCCAACTGAAAGTGACTCTGAGCAATTGGGAGTACCTGACACGTCTCGTAGCTGCGAACCCTTGGCTGGCGATCTGAACTTACTTGCAGATGAGGATACTGAGAGCGCTGGTGACTCCAATGAAGACTCGAGTGAGGAGAGTGATGAAGTCCTGGATTCTGACAACTGGAATTTTAGTTTGCAGAAATTAAATTTAATTGCAGAATTTATTGTCCACAATAGCAGTTTGCAGAAAATGTAAGAGCTGGCCTAGTCTCCATAATTGAAGTTGCATGCAACTACTGCACTTCTGTTGCTTCACCGCCCGCAGTGGGAAAGATATCCAGTTATTTTGAATTGAATAGAAAGAGCGTACTGGCTATGCGCCTGCTTGAACGAGGCCGCGAGGATTTCCGGAAATTGTGTGCATTCCTCGATTTGCCAGCGCCGGTTGAAAGAAGAACTACCAGCGCCTCGTGAAGAATTTTCACCAAGCTGCTAAAGCTAGTGCAAGTTTGAGCATTAAAAATGCTGCTGGAGTTGTGTTCACACAACAAGTTGCAGCCGGGGAGGAATCGCCAGCCGAAATCGCCGTGACAACGGACGGAACATGGATGCGACGAGGATACAGCTCCTTATATGGCATGCAGACTGTGATTGCTTGGGAGACGCAAAAATTTGTGGACGTGGAAGTGTTGACCCGCTATTGTACTTTCTGCACAAGGAAGGAGACTCCCTGCGGAACTGTTTTGGAAATTCTATCTGCAAGATTGCAGGCTTCGTCACAGCGATGGCCCGTGTTATTTGGGAATCTGTTTGCCACAACGTACAGTCCAAGGATGCCGAGAAATGCAATCAGTTCTGCCCGGAAGGACTCATGGTGCAGGTGGCAGCAATAGAAGTGTGGATATGGCAATGTTTCTGTGGCAGTTTCTTCATCGTCGAACAACACTATCCCTGTTGCAGTCTTTGAAGAAATTAAACCTGTATATGTCCATCTTGCCGACAAATCCCTCCTACAGGGCTGTGTTCGTCGTGCCACACAGAATGCCAATGAAGCACTCAATGGCACTATTTGACATCTCTGTCCAAAGGAATCGTTCTGTAGCTCCATAACTGTTGAGACTGCTGTGTTCCTGGCAGTGATCGTGTTCAATGAAGTCCACAGTGAGCTTGCCGAAGTAGTACAGCGTATGGGATGCACTGTTAGTCCGTCGTTGGAGAGAAATCTAGGTGTCTTTCAAGAGGAAAGCTGTACCACAAGCGTAGAAAGTCGTCAGAAGAGGAGCAAAAAGCAAGTAAGCATTGCAGAGGGTTTCTGGATCAGGCACAGCACAAGGAAGAAGAAACATATGCTGCTGGTGGCTTTTGAAAGGTGAAACTGGAGTGTACTTTTTCATGAATTTGAACCTCTTTTTCATAGACTCCGACAAGTTTGAGCCAACATATCTCAGGGCTTACTTGTCATAGAATCATAATCTTGGGCATTATTCACATCTACGTGAAATTTGCTAGGTGCTAAACTAAACAGAACTGTCAATATCCCAGCGAGGTTCTTCCAACTGGCATGTCTCTGAATTATCTGTAAACATCGCGTTTCTGATCTGTAAAACTGAAAATCACAATGCTCCACTGTACATATGTTTACAAGGTTTAGTGTAGTTTAGCACCTTGAGCTGTTAGTCTGCATGAGTTCTGAGCAAATTGACACTGCTGGACACCATTAGCCCCAGTGTTCTTTTTTGGCTCAATCCTTGCCCTGTACGTGCGATATGAACGCATTTTGGCTGAGTGCAAGTTCGGCACTTCAAGATATGTGAGATGTGTGAAAAATGATTCTGAACCTAGGTATGAACACCCTCAACATCACTGCCAAGTTTGGTTTGGATATTCCCAGCTGTTCATGACTTCTGGTCCAAAGAGTGTAGTATACGGAAAAGGGGAACTGCCACCTTAAAATTAAGTTAAGCGGGATTCACAGAAGCTTTTTTTGCGATGCGACACGCGATGCGACGCGATCTGCGCCGAGGCGTGCGATGCGAACTCGCGAAATACCATTCACAGAAGAAGTCAGTGATGCGACAAAATCTTGCTGATTTGGCTACGTCACCATGATATTGGCGCGGTTTGATACAACTTGTACAAATTTATAGGCAACTCTTGAACCTTTGTACAACTTTGCTGTAGAAAAGGTCAAAATCGTACGCCAAATCGCTTGTCGCATCGCATCGCATCGCAAAAGTTGAGCCAAGCTCAACTTCTGCGATGGCCTGCGATGGCCCAGTTGCGGCAGTTGCGTGGGGTGCGACAAGGCTGCGATTTGGGGTTTTCCCGGTTTCGCGCCTGTCGCATCGCGTGTCGCATCGCAAAAAAGCTTCTGTGAATCCCGCTTAAGTCTCACCCTCACTGTGAGGTTTGAACCACATTGTTTCAATACATGCATACATGCATATAAGTAGGATGTCACTCTCGACTGTAAGTCGCGCCATCCCCTTCTTTACCCTTGAAGCTTAGTGTAAAAAGGTGCGACTTGTATTCGGGGAAATACGGTAGTAGAATCTGTTTTAGTGTTGTGAGTAAGGGCGCGTTCGTCTGGTACAGAACTAGAACAAGATCACTCGGAACATGCTTGTTTGGATGACCTGCGCTGGATCTCGAGTGTACAGAGCATGATCTGGCTACTGCAGGCCTTGACGTCGAGCTGGCAGAGCAGTTTTGTTGCTTTTTTCTTCTCCATTTTTTTCATTCAGACTTTATTTGAAGAATTCGCCAAAAGCACTAGCCAGTGAATGGATACTTTATCAAGGGAGTTTCCTTGATGGGTGGATGAGATAAAGGGGAAGTGAAAAGGGAGAATACTTAGCAGAAACACTGCTCAAGGAAAACTGCAAGTAAAACACACCAGGGAGAAACAGAATACACAACGAGCGCTAGATGTGAAAATCAGGAATTCCAGTGCAGCTGTTTGCCTCAGTTTCACTTTGAGATTCTGACAACGTGTTTGTGAATTTCCCGCACGAAAACAATGGTTGAAATCAGGCGTCATGATTTCCATAGCAACATCACAGAAACCTTTCTGCATCTGTTTGCGCCGGAACTGACTGCTCCGACTGCTCCACGCGCTTGCTCTGCTCTCAGATCAGAGAGCAAAATTACAAAATGTCGGCGCAGTAAAATTTTCGACATTTTGGCACCAATATATTTTTGGTACAGCGTTACTAGCACATAACCAAAGCGGATGTGAAAATTTTCATCAGCGTTTTAATTTCCGCAATTTGGGTCGGTGTTGAATGAAGCCGAATTTAAGTTGCTGCCGAAATTTTTGCATACGGGTATTCACAGCTGAAGACTATTTTCTTCAGACAACCTGCAAGTTGTGAATGTGTTTTTGGCAAAGCCCGATTTTGCCAGTGAAGCTTCGATATTTTGCCGCAAAATTTTGCTGGCTCATTGTTGATATTTTGCTTTCTCATTTCGCGAGGTCATTCGATGTTTTGCTCCCCTGTGGCTCCGATCCGAGGCCAAATTTGTGTCATGTGCGGGAAACCTGATCGAAAGTGGGTCACGTGTAGGCAAAACTGAGAAAAAATGAGTCACGTGTTGGAAAAATTGTGCGAAAATGAGTCATGTGCTCCATATAAGTGAAAAATCTCCCGTTTTCCAGCGAATATTCCGATATTTTGCTCCGTCAGTTTTCCTGCAAATTCCCTAGTCAAAATTTTTCGATATTTTGCTAGCAGAATTGCTAGCAAAATCGAGCTATGTCTGGTTTAGCTATATAAGCTGCCTTCTGATTGAGGATTGAGACTCAGCTGGAAGCCCGATGTCTCGCTACAGCTTTCTCCATCTCTATTGCGTTATTACGTACTCAAGTGTGCGGTTTCCAAGCATACAGCGGGTTTTGAGGGCTAGGTGGCAGGTGTCTTACTTGATCACCTGTTTCATGGCACACATGCAATGTCACTTGCCACACTGTACTAGGGGTGAAACGATTGCCAAAATCGAGGACTCGTTGAAAAAACGAGCGAGTACTCGAGCGAGTGCGAGTATTTTACTGACAACATAATTATACAATGCACTGCACACATTCTCGCCGCACCGGACGTGGTACACCCGATACATGAAGTCTTGCCAAGCACTTCTCACAGCTTGTTACATGTACTATCAAAAAGCACTGGACTTTCACAAGATTCAGATCTAGAGGTGCTAGTATAGGCCGCAGTAGGCACACTTGCATGGGCTGTAAGTACTGGTCAGAGTAACAGAACTACTTCATGTACATGCATACAATAGTGCATAGTACGTCTCTAGTATTTTTTTGCGAAACGAGTACTCGCTCTTTTCAAATTTTCGAGCGAGTGCTCGAGTATTCGATATCCTCATTCCACCCCTACTTGCAAGCATAATATATCAGTCGATGTGTAGGCATTGTTGCCTAATCTTTTGGCTTCTTTCTTCCGTGCGCAGGGATGTATCCAGCAATAGACTGTCCAGCATTCCTGTGTTCCAAGGACTTGGCAATCTGATGGCTCTGTGAGTGGATTCATAATTGGCTTATTCACCACCTGTTTCAGAAAGGCTGAAATGCTAGAGAAGTAGGAGACGTTGCAGCTTATGAACAATGACCTGTCATGACTTGTAGCTATACTCAGCTGCACAAAGCTTTCCGTAGGAGTGCTCCCCCCTCCCCCCCCCCCTCCCCCCTCCCCCCTCCCCCCCCCCTCATAGGATGAATGGCACAGATACACCTCCCAAAGCAATGGGAGGTGGGTAGATCACAACCCACCGCCAAGTGGTTGAAAAAGACCGAAAATCCCATGTTCCGCATCCATCAAGAGACCATAAGCTCCCAGGGGATTTCCCCTTTGTTCTGCTAGTTCTGCACTCAATCACTTCACCTTCCGAGCAGCCAGGAGGTCCACCCAAACCGTGACAATGAGCTAGTACAGGGTGCTGTGTGACTCAAGTACGATAATGTGTTGGAACTTGGAAAATGTTTGTACTGCATCCAAAAAAAGTAAAGTCAAAACATCCTTGTGTGTAGAAATAGAATATTGGACAATGCGGCCAACGTGACCTTGTTCTCTTTTGCCCATATCTGTTCTACAGAGACCTATCCCGAAACCCAATAAGCTCTGCAGTTGATGAATACCCTTTCTCAGCCTTGTCTGCACTGGTCAACCTGTAAGATTTGTCATAGCTCCAGTCCATGTACCATGTATTATGTGTATGCCCGTCGCAAGAGAAGCACGCAAATCTGCAAATGCACTGGATTTGCACCCACACTCTCTGAATCTGAATGAAACAGATCAGGGCTAGCACCAGATACCTGTCTAATCCCCACAACTGGCGATGCCCTGTGAAACGTAGTTTCCTGGGGAGTGTTATGCAAATGGTAGTTCGAGGTAATTGTTTGCCATTTTTCATCGTTTATCACAGATTCAGGGTGTACTGCTTTCGAAATGACTGAAATGCCCAATCTTAACCGAAGCCAAGGGCAGTAAAATACCTGCATTCGACTGGCTGGAACAGCTCTGCCAAAGCTGTACTTGTATGCCTAACTTAGCCTGGCCGATAGACTGTCTTGCCTTCACTGCTTATAGGCCTATCTGCTTTTAAAGTTCTGAGTATTGTTAGGGTTTTGTCTATCTTTGTTTTGTTTGTTGTTTGCAGAACAATAACTCACACTCAAATCTCTGTGGTTCCGCAATTGTCAGATTTAGGAGCGCTGAGAACACTGTAAGGCCTTGTTTTAATACCATCTGGAACAGCACACATGACTGAAAGTGCAAAATATTTTAATCATGGTGATGATGCCTGATATACATTGACCACTGGTGCAGGACTAGACAACTATCTCATAGTGTGTGTGGAAAGTTACCTGAGCAAGCGAACAGTGGAACCAACATGGCCGACATCATGTGACCTATAGATGCAGGGGTTGAGTACTGCCGGAGTAGAGTTGGAACCAACATGGCTGACATCATGTGACCTATAGATGCAGGAGTTGAGTGGAGTGTTTATTTATTTTTATTTTTTTACTATTGAACACTCACTGCATGATGAACTAAAATGAGGAGGAGAACTCGACACAATGGTACATATCCAGCAGGACGGAGTGGGTGGGACCTGTGAAGCTCCGCCGACCAAGGGTCTCGGCATCACAGCTGCACATGTGCACCAAAGGAAACAAAACGGGGAGTGGAAGGGTGGGGAGCAGGAGAGCAAGAACTCTAAGGGTAGGAAAGAGAGGAGGGAGGGGAGGAAACCAGGAAACTTGTTAGTTTGCGAGTTATTCCAAGATATGAGTGCAAACAAGTACGCAAACAAGTACAAAGATAGCAGTATCAATAATATCATGATGCTGAGGCGAAAGTAGAGGCTGATTGCCGTGCAGTTTTGACAAAAGATTAGAATAAGAATGGAGGAGAGTTAGAGAGAGATAAGGACATAGTATATTATGGATTGGGAGTGTAATGAGAAGGGAGTGCTCCGAGAACATGAACAGGGTCGTGCTGGCAGTAGCCTAGGGGGCGATGTCTGTGGCCAATGACCACCCCGACCGTTTCAGGTAGCGGTAGGTCCGAACCTTGAACTGCTGCATCCCTTTGGCAGATGGTGCATCGCGGAGGAGAGTGGCTGGCAGTTCATTCCAAGCTTCGTTGAGGCACTCTGGGAAAGAGCGCAGCGCAACATTCTACGATCTGGCAGGTAGGGCTGTCTGGAGTTGAAGCTCGTGTGCAAGGTTGGCTGCCGAGCGGCGACGTGTGGCAGGCGCGATGGCGGGTGCGGTGGCTCTGGCTGGGCATGTCGCTGCAAGAGCCGGTGGGCTTGTGATGTAATGGAGCTTGTACAGGGTTGTGAGGCCGGCCACACGGCGCCGCAGAGACAGAGTGTCCATTGCAGCCCATGTCCCAATCAGGGTTAGGGCACGATGCTGGACTCGGTCCAGCTGTGAGAGATGGGTAGCCGCAGCTCCCATCCATACAAGTGGGCAGTACTCCATTGGAGGCCGAATGAACCCCCCAGTATGCTGTATCCCGGCCCAGTGGGTCCAGGACATGGCACGCCTTCCGGAAGAAACTAATTCGCTGTGTGGCACGCACTGCAGTTCCTCGAAGATGCTCTGAGTATGATAGATGGGCATCAAACGTCACTCCAAGGAGCTTCAGCCGCGAGCATTCCGGGACCGCTGTGCCGTTGAACTGGATGGGTGGTGTCTCCCAGGGTCTACGGTGGCGGGACACAGTCATGGCCTGTGATTTCGTTGGCTCAAAAGTGACGCGCCACTGAGCACCCCATTCAGCAAGTGCATCCACACCAGCTTGGAGGTTGCGGCACACTTCTGTCACAGCATGTGGCGTTGGGATGTGGGCATAAAGCGTGGTTTTCATCTGCGTAAACAGCCGGAGTGATCCCTTCCGGTAGGACGTCGCAGGCATCATTCACATACAGCAAAAACAGTGTGGGCCCAAGGATGCTCCCTTGTGGGACCCCAGCATCAATCTTGTATGATTCTGAAGATGCTCCGCCGACTACTGCCTGCAACTTCCTATCGTACAGGTAGTCAGACAGCCAGCTGAGGAGGGGACCAGTGATGCCATATGACGCAGCCTTGTGGAGCACGCCTCGGTGTGAAACTTTGTCGAATGCTCCTGCTATGTCTACAACCAGCACGCGGACTGCGCCACCACGGTTGACTTCGGACACCCAGGAGTGGTTGAGAGACGTGAGAAGGTCAGATGTGCTGAACCCCTGACGGAATCCGTACTGGTGGATGGACAGGGCCTTTTCATAGTCGAGCCTGCAGCTTGCTTCAGGAGTGACCACCATTGCTTGTTTCGCAGTGATCCATGTTTGAGCCGATCTCGGATGCGGGCAGATTGATCATTCTGCCTGCTTTGCGAGACGGAGGCAATTGGCAGAGGCTCGGACTTTGGCATTGTAGTCAATGAGTTGCTTATGGCAGGTGGGGTGTCTCCTGAGACGGTTCCATGCATTCTTCTTTGCCTGGGTAGCGGCTGAGCATTCCGGCGTCCACCAGGATGGATCTGTTGGTTTCGTCGAAAGTTCTTTGTGTGGGATGAAGCGATCCATGCCTTCCATGACAACAGCGGTTACTGATCTGCAGGACGCCTCTGGGTCTTCTGATATATCCCATTTTGCTGTTGAGTAGAAGTGCTGAAGCCGGCCCCAGTCTGCCTGAGCATACCTCCAAATGCGCCGTTTAGTCGGTGGTTCGCGGAGTGGGGTAGCATCAAAAGTGGCCACAACGGTGGCATGGTCTGATGCTCCAATGGGGTCCAGTACATTTACCACCACCGAGATCTCCGAGAAGTCGCTGAGGATGAGGTCCAGGGTGTTCTCACCGCGTGTCGGTTGAGTAACGTGCTGGTTTAGCCCGTGGAACGCAGAGAGTTCTTCCATGTATTCACCAGCTGGTGTAGTCTTCGTGCTGCATAGCCAGCTTTCATTATGAACATTTAAGTCACCAGCTATCACAACGCTGTTCCCGAGGGATCGAGCTTGATCCATGACTGAGTCAAGATACTCAAGCAGAGAGACATCTTGTCCAGGGCACGACCCGGGTCGGTCCATGGCACATACAACTACTTTCTGGCCATTGTCCAGGTGCAGGCGAAGCCAGATGACCTCATGGCCATGGAAGTTGATGTCACTCACGTGGTCAAAGGAGAGGGCCTGAGTCCCGGACACAGACTGCAACTCCGCCGCCTTGAGCAGATCGGTCAAGTCGGAGGGGTAGGTGGAAGCCCGGCATGGAGGAGTCAGATAGTGAGGCTTTCTCTGGGGTGAATTTAGTCTCTGTTACGATGGCGATGTCAGATCTGCTCCGTGCAACAGCATGCTGGAAGGCTCCAAACTTTGACAGCAGCCCAAAAGCATTTGTCAGCAGTAGCTTCATTACTGTGTATGTCCTTGCGCAGCTGGTGGTCATTGGTGTTTGCGTGGCTGAATCGCTTCAGCTGAGGCAGCCTCTGCCTCACTGTCCCTATTGCCTCTGCTGCCCACGTTGCCGGCGCCAGATGCAGCAGATGAGCTGTCACCCTGCGGCCGTTTGCGGTGTCGCCAAGCGTAAAGCGGTCGTAGCCAGAAGTTCGCAGCAGTGACTGTTGTTTCTAAGCCAGTGGCGTCGAGCGACAATCGGGCGGAGACTTTCCCGTCTTCCGTGGTGTGCATACTGCACTCATGGACCTTGACGGATTTGGCCACGGCCACAGATCGCTGCTGAGTGAACTTTGTCACTCGCTCCTCTGTGCAATCAGCGTTCAGATTTCCCACATACACGACTGCCTTCCTTGTTTGGTGGGGTTCTTTAGACACTAGTTTCCACGATTCATCAGCGATTGGGTCGAACGATTTTTCTGGGGCTTGACTGGGGGGCGCCCAACAATCTGAAAACTTTCGTTTTTTAACAGGAGATCTCACGATCACTGCCAGTGTCATCCACGTCTACGCGTTTGAAAGGGCTACGGTGTTCTCCTCTTGCTGCACCAGTGCACTTGGTGACCTGGTCTTTTCGCGTACGGGTACGGCTACGAGATCCCTTCCGCCTTATCGTACTCTGGTGCTGTTGTTCAGCCGGAGGAAAGGTAACACTTGCCGTTGCAATGGTGGACTCCTTCATGGCGACAACCTCCTCTTTCAGTCCTGTTGTCTGCATGACCAGTTCGTCAATCCGGTTTTTGAGATGGACCTCCCGGTTTGCAGATTCCGACACGAGCGCTGACAGCGTCTTGACAATTTCAAAGACGGACGATTCGATTTCAGGGATGGAGCTCAAAAGTTTTATTTCCGATTCCGTCAGGCTGCGAGTGGCAGTTCTGGCCGGCATAGCTACCTGTGTCTACCTACCAGTACTACCTAGACTATCCACTACTCACCAATCTTCTCTTCTACCCTGTAACTACCTCCAGACCGGCCTGGTGCCGGCTGGGCTGAGAAATCGCACGAAAAACTACGGAGCTCGAAAAAGTCCAACCGTAGATCTACTCTTCAACATGCAAAAAAAAAAAGTTGGAACCAACATGGCTGACATCATGTGACCTGTAGATGCAGGGGTTGAGTGGAGTTGGAACCAACATGGCCGACATCATGTGACCTATGGGGCTGTTAAGTGATGACGTCACAGTTCCTTCGATACGCATAACAACGATCCCACTGGGGACAAACAAAAGTAGCGTCGTCTCCACCGAACCAGTTGTCAGTGGCAACATATAGGAATCGTGTACATTTCTTCGTTTCTTCTTTGCTGTTTTCAGTGAGTGTTTTGTTTTCTCTTTGTCCTTGATCTCGACGATGTTGTCGTGCTCATTACCTTACTGAGACGTCTCTTGTGACTGTAGCCAGTGTCACGGAGGATTTTATTGGCGTGACAAGGTAGATCGCCGAGATCGAGCGTGAAAAACGCTCTGCATTAGTAGCTCCTGTAGAATGTTTTCTGGGATGGCGTATCCATGGTCAACAAAACCAAGGTTCAAGACAGCATGAGAGATCGTGTAAACGATGTGAACTCCAAAAGGTAAGCTCCTGAACAAGTGGAAAGATATAGGTATTTACAAACTCTCTCTTCATCCATCGATTGCCGCTATGCATTGCATTTTGTCTTCACAGATAATCTGGCCAAATTTATTGTAACTAGAGAGTGCAATCGTGCTTGGGGCCCATCCCAATGTCATCACATGGCTGTGGTGACTAGTATATATCTGGGAGAATTTTTCCTCGACTGATACGGAGTGCAGGTGGATCGATTATGAGAAATGCGAACATGTGAAGTAAGTAATTAGTTGTGTCGAACAAATGTGCAATAAAATATAATTTACTTTACACTCAAACATACACTGTAGATGTACATGTAACATCATGATAATGATTCCATCTTCATTGTCCCGCAACTGGTACACCATACGCACCGAATACATGGTGTGTGTGTGCGCGCGCGCAAGCGCATGTACATGCACACACTCTCATGCGTGGCTGAGTCGGCCAGATGAACAGACCATGCATTTGCACGAGGTGTCCGTAATGTCATTGGAATGCTGTACTTTATGACTTTATTCCAAAAGAGTATGTCTTGCCCCTGACGAATGGAGTTGTGTCTGTGCTCAGCGGGTATCGGGCTATGACGCAACACTGCAATCAGCGCTGCAATTAAAAGAGCACTGCATGGATTATTTTGACTAACTTCCTTTGCGTTTACTTGGTTGAGCCCGTGACTTCATTTCTGTGTTCTGTCATGATTGGCCTCTGGAAATAATCAGAGTGGATGTCATTTTGCCATATATGTGTGCCTTGTGCGACAGGTTCAAGGCTAGATGCACTTCAAATTCGGCGTGCGATCTCAGCGTCTGGGACCTGATGAAGTCTTGGTTGGATGATTATTCAAGCCTGACACTACTCGACACACCAATGTACATGTCAATGTAATTTTTTCAGAGCTGCACTATTTACGTGTTGATGCTTACTTCGGTGTTAGCGTGTTTCCCCCGGATTGTTTCTATCATCATGATCGTGTGTTCTTGGGCTGAGCGAGCACATGCACAAGTGTGCAGCTATAACCCTGTGTATCTTTGGTTACACTTTGTTCTGCAATGCATGTACCTTGTAACATTATGTGCTTGCACTGATTTGTCTGGCCTGCGTATTTCAAGACTATTCAGTGCATTAGACCCAGGTTTGTTTGGTTGCCGGATGATCTCTTGTTGCGTCGCTCTGTATTTGTATTCATCAATTTTTGGGCTTGAGAATTGAGCTGTTGTGTGGTTCCCAATATGAAAACATCATGCTGGTGCTCTGTGTTTCGATTATCGACTGTCGGAGCAGTCATGCATTTATTAGCAGAACGGTCAATACTGTAGTCTTTTCACGTGTTTGTCTTTTCGCCGGGGGTATTAGCGGTAACGCTGCACACAGAACGGCAGTGTTGCATCACTGGACGACCCTGCCTCTGCATCTGACTTAATTTCCCCAGGATCTGGTGCAGTTACACCAGACAGCCACTTCCTGTAAACACGCAAACAGCAAAAGAAGAGATCCCGCAAATCAGGAAAAACCATTGTGGAAAATATAGAGTAGATCATACAACATTCAATAATCTGGAGTAATTACAGTGAGACAAACACTTCAAACAGTGCTCTCTCTCTCTGTCTTTCTCTGTCTCCATCCTTCCAAAAATACCCTATGACAATTCCTTAGAATTATTTCATTTTATATTCTTAGGACATCATTCTGAACATAATAAATTCTTCCATGGGTCTTCAATCACCACGGAGGGCGAAAATATATCTAAGTCATGCAGTTCACGGGAGGTGCGAGCTGTCATGGATATAGAAGCTGATATTGTGCCAGCGTGAGGGCAGAGACAGAAAGAAGACACTGATTTCTTGAACAACTCACCTATATGTAATCGAATCCACAAGGAGCGCTCATACTTTGATCCATCAGGACGCGAAACATCTTCAAAGCACTCTCAAACACGGAGTTTTACTGTGGGCAGCCAATTTCACAGCCATCATGAAGGCACTCGACGACTACAGGAGTTTTGTAGAGGAAAGAACAAGGAGTAAAGAGCGACAACAATCGCTTGAAGAAAAAGCAAAGAAAAACTGCTGTCTCTCCAGTCATTTAGATGCTGTTGCCCTTGACATCTGGTTCCATCCAGAGGACGCGACTTTTGTTTGTCCCCAGTGCTCTCCGTTGCTATGCGTATCGAAGGAGCCGTGACGTCACACTTAACAGCCCCATAGATGCAGGGGTTGAGTGGAGTTGGAACCAACATGGCCGACATCATGTGACCTATAGATGCAGGGGTTGAGTAGAGTTGGAACCAACATGGCCGACATCATGTGACCTATAGATGCAGGAGTTGAGTGGAGTTGGAACCAGCATGGTCGACATCATATGACCTATAAATGCAGGGGTTGAGTGGAGTTGGAACCAACATGGCCGACATCATGTGACCTATAGATGCAGGAGTTGAGTAGAGTTGGAACCAACATGGCTGCCCTTTATGGTCATGTGATAGATGTAAATCTACTCTATCATAGTCACTTAACCGTTTGAAGTGCAAAATGAATGCGTGCAAATATGCAATTCAACTCGAAGCCGCTCTCGAATAGAAGCCTTGGCTAATAGCTCCAATGCAATGACTATTTGAAATACTATCAGTTCCTCTCGAATAGAATTGAGGATTACTATTTGCAAAGCACGGGGTGACCAGACAGTTCCATGATTGGTAAGGTCAATAGGCCCATTGTGCAGTGACGTAATTTGTACCGCGAACACCCCACACAACCACCTGGGCATGGTCGTCTGGGGTGCTGAACAGTGCATTGCTGATCGCAGCGTACTCGCACGCATTACTCATGTGTAAGCCATATTTGGCAATGCGCAATGGGTGACTTCCTCGATTATGGCTAAGGCCTGTGGAGAATCCATAAATACAAATACAATACAAATGGGTCAATGGCGGTATATGGTACAGGGTGTCTGCGGATTCAGTATGACATCACATTGCAAAGAGATGTTTGCAGGGTTAAGCGATGCATCAAGCATGGCATCATCATGACAGCCCTTGCTTTCCAGGGAATGGCTTTGCGGAGGAGCTTGTACTGGACTTCGCAGTACCGGTGCATAAACAGGTGATATAATCACACTACACATGTTCAGCTTCTGGATGCGTTGTCTTCTTGTCTGTGTGCAGAGATTTCTCAAACAACGCCATCACCCACGTTGGGCTATTCGATGGTCTGCCCGATCTGAGTGCATTGTAAGTTGATCGGACCCAACACCCACTCACTTTTCTCCTCAAGCTCTCTCTCTCTCAAGCTCTTGTAAATGTAGAGATAACACTGTGGTAAATCGACTGCTTGTATTGTTACAATAGTTCTGACGATATTAGTTATTTGATTGTATTCTTACTTTGTAGCTGCGTCCAGGCTCGTTGGAATTCTCATCACGGACTCCATTCTAGTTTCGAAGAGATATATATTCTTGTCCAATTGTTCTCAACAAATTCCTCGTCTTGTGCATTTGTTATCAAACAAATTCTTCGTAGTATTTGCAGTACGTAGTCTCGCGCTCTTTGATTTGTTTGACTCGCGCGTGATTTTCCTTTCTTTTCTTTTTGTCATGTATGACGTATCGGTATGACGTGAGTGTGTACGCACTCTGTTTATGACCACGTGACTGCATGCTCACGTGGAACTACAGTCAGTAGGCTAGTGCATTTTAGCGACTGCAGCGATCCGATCTTCTTGCTGCAGCGCTGTTTCTTCTTCTTCACTTGTGTCTTTTCTTTGGTCGCTGCACTAGTTTGTGATTACCATGATTACGCGTCAATGGACGACGTGGTCGCCATTTTGTGCATGTCCTTTTTTCTTGATGAATCTTGGATCTCGTGGAAAAAGAACAGTTTTCTTTTCTCCCAACTTTACCACTATTTCAATATTTCAACTCTTGATTCCTTGTTGACTAGTTGTGGCTCAGTGCATGTGCGAGTGTGCTGGAGTGCTAGCTGGAAGAGATAGAGAGCATAGTGGTGGAGTAACAACGTGGTGCCGAAACCCCGCTGGTTTGGACCGGAGAATACGAGCGTGGTTTCGAATTGGAATTTTCTTGAATTCGTAAATTGTGTCCGGATCGATCGTTCACGTGTCGTGTGTTGTTCGCTGAGCACTGGTAGAGTGCTGACGAAGCGTGCTGTTGTGGCCTGGTAGTCGATGCCTCCTAGACTTAGGAACGCTCGAGGCAGGGGTATCAGTAGCACACCGACAACTCCACAGGCGCCTGGACATCGTGATCGTGACATTAAAAATTTGTGGACTCCTGGGAGTCCTGAGGATAGTACATCCGTGGTATCCAGGCACAGTGAAGGTGGTGCTGATCATACTAGTGTTAGTGACAGTGCGTCTTCTGTCAACAGTGAAATGTCGTCACTTAAGTTGGATGGATTCGTGAAGCCGTATCGTGGCCGAGTGGACGACTTCGACATGTTTTGGTCGAAGTTTGAAGTACTGGCAGATATATCGGGGTGGACAAGCACGGAGCAACAGATGAAACGGTTGCCGCTGTTCTTGGAGGGCGAAGCCCACCGTGTGTTCTCCAAACTGAGTGAGACGGAGAAGCGAGATAAGGATGCAGTGAGGAGCATCCTGCGGAAGTCCTTCTGCGTGAGCCGCAGTGAGGCGTACCGCTTGTTTAAGCAGCGGCAGCTGAAAGTGGATGAAAGTCCAGAGGTATATGTTGCCGAGCTGTGCCGTCTGTTAGAGCTGTCTGGACATAAGAGTGACAGCGATACCGATCCTGTGGTGATCGAGCAGCTGTTGGCCGGATTGCCAATTGAGTTTGCCAAGGATGTCCGTTTGTCCATGGCAGGCAGGGACCTGAAGGTATCTGAATGCCTTGATAGGATCCGGGCACTGCGATCAGCCACCGGCGCCAGAGTTGGTGCAGTGTCCGCAGCTGCCACATATGTGCAAGACAGTGTTGCCACGCCATCACCGCGGCTTTGCCACCATTGTGGAGAACCGGGCCATTTCAAAAGGCATTGCCCGAAGTTATCTCGAGCAGGGAATGGTCATGCGGCCAAGCAAGAGCACCGGCGCAAGGACCCGTTCTGCCACTTCTGTGACAAGAAAGGGCACGTCAAGAAGGACTGCTTGCTGAGGAAGAAGTGGCTGGATACACAGGCTAGCTCAGAAGTTGCTGGGGCCTCGGTGCACTCCAAGGACGTGTGCCTCCTGGCATCTGCATCGCCATCGTGCCCGAAGCTACCTCGTGTGTTTGTTGAATGTGCTGGTCCTGACGCGAGTAACAGTGTGCGTGCTGCAGCTGTGATAGACACTGGATCCACTCGCACGTTGGTGACAGAAGCACTGCTGCATCGCCTTGGTCTCGATGTGACGCCATTGACCAATAATGACGGCATCGTAGCACTGGATGGCAACACCATGCAGACGTGTGGCACAGTGGCCCTCAAGTTTTGGAGACACGACGGACCGGTGAGCATTCATGAAGTGGTATTGAATGCTGTCGTTGTGCCTGATTTATGTGTAGTGGCCGCCGATGTACTGATTGGCATTGACCTGGTGACCTTGTGTGGGCGCCTGTCTGTAGAGTATGCTAATGATCAGCTTGTGCGTGTCGTAATTGGGCCCGGTCCAGCCCATGCAGATAGTTGCCCGTCGGTGTCAGTAGCATCAGCAGCTGTGCCGCCTCCTGGCCACCCTACAGGTGTACAAGTGTATGAGGATCAGCTGTCCGACGGTATGACCCCTAGTGCTGACAAAGAAGTTCTCCAGCCAGTCGTGGATGACTCGCCAATGTCTGCAGCTCCGACGCGCCCGCCATCGAAGCTGTCGCATCATGTCCATGTAGAGACTCACGGCAACGATGTCATCCTGAAGGTTGATGACGGCGAGATGCGTTGGATGTCGGCTGAGAAGCGTTGGGAGGTCAAGTGGGTATGGAAGTCTGGTGAAGAACCCAATGGCCGTGTTGGTCCTGGTATCAGCGAGTACCCTCGGAAGAAAATAACCGCGGCAGAGGAGACGCAATTCTGCTCTGCCGTAGATGAGTGGATTGAGCGAGGCTGGCTGGTGAAGCACGACGCTGACACCCATGGTCGCCCTGCCTGTGTCTTGCCATTGATGGCTGTGAGTCAGCCGCACAAGACGTCTACGCCTGTGCGTCCGGTGTTAGATTATCGCCACCTGAATAAGCTGTTGGTGTCCCACCCTGGCACTAAGTCGCCTGTGTGCGCCGAGACGTTGCGCCAGTGGAGGCTCAAGGGTGAAGCTGATGAATTTGAGTTAGTGGACATTACCAAGGCGTACTTGCAAATCCATGTCAGCCCTCTCTCACTCTCTCTCACTCTCTCTCACTCTCTCACTCTCTCTCACTCTCTCTCACTCTCTCTCACTCTCTCTCACTCTCTCTCACTCTCTCTCACTCTCTCTCACTCTCTCTCACTCTCTCTCACTCTCTCTCACTCTCTCTCACTCTCTCTCACTCTCTCTCACTCTCTCTCACTCTCTCTCACTCTCTCTCACTCTCTCTCACTCTCTCTCACTCTCTCTCACTCTCTCTGACTCTCTCTCATTCTCTCTCACTCTCTCTCACTCTCTCTCACTCTCTCTCACTCTCTCTCACTCTCTCTCACTCTCTCTCACTCTCTCTCACTCTCTCTCACTCTCTCTCACTCTCTCTCACTCTCTCTCACTCTCTCTCTCACTCTCTCTCACTCTCTCTCTCTCTCTCTCTCTCTCTCACTCTCTCTCTCTCTCTCTCTCACTCTCTCTCACTCTCACTCTCTCTCCCTCTCACTCTCTCTCCCTCTCACTCTCTCTCCCTCTCACTCTCTCTCCCTCTCACTCTCTCTCACTCTCTCTCACTCTCTCTCACTCTCTCTCACTCTCTCTCACTCTCTCTCACTCTCTCTCACTCTCTCTCACTCTCTCTCACTCTCTCTCACCTATCTCACTCTCTCTCACTCTCTCTCACTCTCTCTCACTCTCTCTCACTCTCTCTCACTCTCTCCCTCTCTCTCTCTCTCTCACTCTCTCTCACTCTCTCTCACTCTCTCTCACTCTCTCTCACTCTCTCTCACTCTCTCTCACTCTCTCTCACTCTCTCTCACTCTCTCTCACTCTCTCTCACTCTCTCTCACTCTTCTCTCTCTCTCTCTCACTCTCTCTCACTCTCTCTCCTCTCTCTCACTCTCTCTCACTCTCTCTCACTCTCTCTCACTCTCTCTCACTCTCTCTCACTCTCTCTCACTCTCTCTCACTCTCTCTCACTCTCTCTCACTCTCTCACTCTCTCTCACTCTCTCTCACTCTCTCTCACTCTCTCTCACTCTCTCTCACTCTCTCTCACTCTCTCTCACTCTCTCTCTCTCTCTCACTCTCTCTCACTCTCTCTCACTCTCTCTCACTCTCTCTCACTCTCTCCTCTCTCTCACTCTCTCTCACTCTCTCTCACTCTCTCTCACTCTCTCTCACTCTCTCTCACTCTCTCTCACTCTCTCTCACTCTCTCTCACTCTCTCTCCCTCTCTCCCTCTCTCCCTCTCTCCCTCTCTCCCTCTCTCCCTCTCTCCCTCTCTCTCCTCTCTCCCTCTCACCCTCTCACCCTCTCTCCCTCTCTCCCTCTCTCCCTCTCTCCCTCTCTCCCTCTCTCCCTCCTCCCTCTCTCCTCTCTCCCTCTCTCCCTCTCTCCCTCTCTCCCTCTCTCCCTCTCTCTCCTCTCTCCCTCTCTCCCTCTCTCCCTCTCTCCCTCTCTCCCTCTCTCCTCTCTCCCTCTCTCCCTCTCTCCCTCTCTCCCTCTCTCCCTCTCTCCCTCTCTCCCTCTCTCCCTCTCTCCCTCTCTCCCTCTCTCCCTCTCCCTCTCCCTCTCCCTCTCCCTCTCTCCCTCTCTCTCTCTCTCTCTCTCTCTCTCTCTCTCTCTCTCTCTCTCTCTCTCTCTCTCTCTCTCCTCTCTCTCTCTCTCACACACACACACACACACACACACACACACACACACACACACACACACACACACACACACACACACACACACACAGATTGACAATCAGTCAGTGGTGGCAGCCCCTAAGAAATTAACTAGCATCAGTGAGCCATTGGTATAAAGAAGTGGAGTCGGTTTTGGGCAGTTCACTGAAGACTAATTTTGTCAATTCCTGATGAGTCTAAAGCATCAATCACATCAACAGCCAGTGCGGTGCATGGGTTGGAGAGCCAGGGGCGTCACACGTGGCACGACCATTACAACCATTATGTCCATGATTCACGGTAGCGCTTTTTGCCCAGGATGGTCCTCCCACAGTGCCTGTAGAGCGCCAAAACGTGCACTGTTGGCAGAAAATCCGATGTTTTCGTCGGGCGACACTCCCACCCCGGTCGTGCCACTCCAGACTCAGTGCCCTATGACGTCCTGAGAGCAAAACACAACTCTTAGCACCGCTGTCTACATACATTGTGGAGTTCATTCTAAAGAAAGAATATAAATACTTTCAGAAGGACACCAATGCTTGCGGAAGTGCAAACGACTCATTTTCTCAGTTCTGCCATTGAAACGAAAGGTTCAGTGACCCTCACCTAGATATCTCAGTGTCATGAAATGCAGACAGAAACCCTATTGCTCAACACTACTAGTTTGATCATCGTAGTATAAGTGGCACCGACTTTTTGGAGGTGAATTACTGGTGGTCAAAATGTGGCTTATACTCCGGGCCGAAAACTACGGGCTAGCTAAATACATTAGTAGCCCTGTATGTGTTAATCGCAAACCAACACCGCTGCCTACTCGTTCTGAAATGTTCGGAGGTAATCGCATACAGGCAGAAGAAGGTAGCTCCTCCAAACACTGGAGTTTATACCTCATGCAAACTGGATGACATTCACCAGTGGCCTCCGGTTGCAAGTTGCCAGTGGCCTTGGGTAACTGTAAGGGGCGAATCTCTAACGGGGCACAAAGCCTAACGTTTTGAAGAGAAAACAATCCACCATTAACTCAAGAAATATTACTAGCGTGTGATTCCTTCTCTCTTCTGTACTACAGAAATAAAAAAAGGTGTGTGATGGCAGGGCCATTAAGCTTTGTGCCCGCTATTAAAGTGGGAAATTTTTCAAATAGTTAAACTTTAGACTCGTCACACTTTCAACTCTTACAGTAGTCAGTGCGATTTGCTTTTGTAGCCTCAGTAATTTGTAGTACTTGGACAGGAAAGACAACTCTAGCTCTGGTCATTTTGTTTGATTGTTCTCTGAAGGGATTTGAGCTACAATGCCATAGGCAGTGTAGCTCAATCTGCACTAGCAACTCTATCAGGTCTCATTCAAATGTAAGTTCTGCTGTTACCGTGCCTACAGACGTGATGTGCGTGATCTTGAACTAATAGAGCATGCCTGCACAGGTACATGCACACACATGCACACACACCACACACACACACACATGCACGCACGCATGCACACACACACGCACGCACACAAACACACACACACACACACACACACACACAGAACACATACATTTGCACAAATCCATACGCACCCCAATGCATGGGAACACCTATGAGCGTAAAATCATGCACATGGACACACACACACGCACACACACACACACACACACACACACACACACACACACACACACACACACACACACACAGAACACAGAACACATACATTTGCACAAATCCATACGCACCCCAACGCATGGAAACACCTATGCCCATAATATCATGCATACACATTACACACACATACCTGGTTCACATCCTGGTGGTGGCAGTCAGTTTCGTCTTCAGACTTTTCCCTTTTCCGTCCCGTCAACTATTTAACACATACATGCGCTCTCCTTTTCCAACAAACCTACAACCAATCAGCACGTCATTCCACGCTAAATCGAGAACTACCAATACCACTAGTATCAAGAGTATTATAAGCTCCCAAGAGCGTGCAACTCCTGATACCCTTTCTATGGCGTCTCGCCAACGGCGAAAACTCACATCACGTAATGTAATGTCCCAGTTGTACGTTTCCAACCCGTTTCTAGCGAGCAGCGGAGTAATAGTACAAGCACTCCCCGGCAGAACATCACTGCACGTATGCAACTCGCTAGCATAATAATGGCAGATATTCGGATTGCTCGCATGCTATCCTTCGTTTGTACGTACATGTAATATTGTTATAGCAATAATATTATTGTTATAAGGGTAAGGCACAGTATACAAAAGTCAATGGAGTGATTTGGTTTGACAGAAAAATATCGTTATAAGGGTAATATCGTTATAGAGGTTATCGTTATAAGGGTAGGTCGGCTGTAGTACAAAACGTACCTGAGACACGCAATGTGAGTTTTCGCCTTCGGAGACCCCATAATGCAGCGTTGCACACTCACAGGGCTTCTAAGTATACTCTTGTTAGTACTAATATACCATGCTGGGGTCAAAAGTCATAGCTCTCTTCTTGCCTTACTGTAGAGGTAATGGGAGTCCACGATGGAACCCCTATCTATAGGCTTGAGATGTCTAGGGGCAGATTTCAGAGCTTCAACCTCGATTGGCTGGAAGATGGCCTACGCCCACAGACGCAACTCCAACTCCTGACCCAACTCCACTTGCTACAAATCTGATCACATTTTTCTAGGGACGAGCCAGCAGGGATGCACGTTGTGATTGACATCAATCTTGCTACTTTGTTGTCGTTCCGACCCAAGATATCTCGGACTTGTGATTGTGTGTCAAGAACCTGCTGAGGTTTGGTGTTTACAATACTGGCCGGCCATGGTGCAATGTGGTGTATTGAACATATTCAATTGCTATTATTGTTTTCTAATTGTCGGCAAACTGCAACGCGGCCACTTACACATTTGGGAAACTGCACTTCTCAATTCCAATTTTGGAGTTGAGAAGTGAAGCTATTATTGTTTGGTAGGTGAAAGAGAGTTTCAATTTGATTGTGTGGATTTGCGTCTTTAGCTGTTATTGTTGAATATTTTTTCATGAAAACGTGTACTGACCACTTTTAGGAGACATATCTTTAGTGCCAGTGGAGTAAGTCCACGATCTTTTAGTGAATGGTTCTGAAACTTGAATAGCGATGATAACAGGTATCCATAGCGATGCATTATTTCGGGCTGATTTCCAGGGAAGGCAGCATAAGGGGGGGAGCGAGCGGAGAGCGCAGCACTGTGGTGTGGTGATTGATAAGAATAAGAATCTGGACAAGGCCGAATCCTGCTACTTACCCCTCTGGATCTAATACCATGATAGAAAAACAGAGGGTACCCAGTTGAAGTCCTGTGTGGAATCGGAAAGGTTTTTCCAGCCGTGCCACGACCCACAGTTACTTGGGAACTCGTGGCCTTGAACGAGGGAAACATGGATGCAGCAAATGGGATTTTTGGTCTTTCACCACTTTGTGGAGATTCTGAGATTTGCCCGACTCCCACCGCTAGAAGATCCCATTCGCTGCATCCATGGTCAACATGCTCAATACCTAGGTTAATTCAAGAGAAAGCGACAAACAAGAACTTCATCCATTTCATGCCACCGAAGATTCCAGGCTTTGAGGGTTCGAAAAAAGTGCGTTTGGGGTCAATTGACCCCGCCTGGTAGTTCTAGTGTTAAAAGGGAAGTAAAGCAGAATTGTTCGAATAGCAACACTCGTGGATTATGTTCGTGTCCGAATTTGTGGTTCTCTATTCTCCAGTGATTTGTCACACAACCTATTACCCAAGTTGCACGCGGGTACGTTTTCGGGGCTGCGGAAACTTCAAACTGTGTAAGATGATACATGTATATGAATGTTTTAAAACACTACATACACATTTAATATCTGTATGTATTGGAGGTTGCGCAAGAAATCGGAAATCCGGCGACTGGGCAGAGGTGTGGCCTTAGTGCAGGTCACATTTAAAACAAGGGCGAATTACAGCCAAACCTCTTCAGGATGAACACCGAGGGATGGATGGATGCCATGGTATTTGTTCGCAAAATAACGGGAGTTCTTCTCATCCATACAGGGTCAGTCTAGCCAAAGGGGTAGGGGGGGGGGGCACAGCACTCCCTACTCTGTTTAGCCCCCCCCCCCCTGTGAAAACGTGCCCCCCCCTACTTATTTTCCGATTTGGTTTTTTTTCATGCCATTCGACGAAAATGCAGTCGATAGTCAGTCAGCACTACACCCCAGATAAATGCGCCTTTATGAACCCTCTAGGGTTCATAAAGGCGCATTTATCAGGGGTGAAGCCAGGTGAAGTCAGGTGAATATTGCATTTTGCATTGCAAGACAGTTATTTTTGAAAATGAAAAAAAGGGTTACAGGATAACTGTTTTCCCTGCCCCCTCTCCTCCCCCTACTTTTTGTACCTGGCTATAACCCTGCCATATTTTATGCCCAGTGGATACACAAGGGGATTTATTCAATAGGGTTTTGAATACTAGTTCTTCTGAAGTGAAAGTTTGCTAATTAAGGCTGTCATCACACTGCAGTACAAAGCACTGCGTCTACCTTCACGTATGGAGTTTTCGGTCGGTTGTCATGGTGATCCACCTACGGGTTACCGGTTGAAAACGGGAGCAGAGAAAACTGGAAACATTGACGTGGAAGGGAGGCGGGATACAATTTATAACCCTGCCATATTTTATGCCCAGTGGATACACAAGGGGATTTATTCAATAGGGTTTTGAATACTAGTTCTTCTGAAGTGAAAGTTTGCTAATTAAGGCTGTCATCACACTGCAGTACAAAGCACTGCGTCTACCTTCACGTATGGAGTTTTCGGTCGGTTGTCATGGTGATCCACCTACGGGTTACCGGTTGAAAACGGGAGCAGAGAAAACTGGAAACATTGACGTGGTAGGGAGGCGGGATACAATTTTTTATAAACATGCGTATCTCCCCCCCCCCCCCCAAGTCTTTTTCGAAACGACCTTGTACGTGCGCTTGGACCTTCAAATTTCTCCAAAAACGTGACCACGTGTTCAGGTCAAGAACTGTGCCCATTTGATGATACGACCCACCTTTTTGGGATTTTCACCGTAGACACACAGGCATGAACGGGTGTCAGATAACGCAGTGTGATGACGGCCTTACCAGCATTCTCCTTCACGAGTGTTCACAGTAGGCAGCTGTGCAGAGGTTGAGGTCAGCCCATTGTACTTTGGTTCAACCCCGGGCACATTGCACCAGCAGGCAAAGATATCTGTATGACCCTGATGTGGCAGGTGTGATCATCAGCACAGAATCATCCTAATATGTTATTATAGTTCTCTTAGGAAGTCTAAATGGATCTACGTCGTCCACCCCAGTCTAAAAGAACACACCCAAAATCTTTCAAAACCAAACGTTTTCGTTCCCTTCTCGCCATGGGCTCCTATAGAGAGTAGAGTAAAATGACGAACACAGTTACTTCAAAGTACAAGTGTGAAAACAGATTCACCCTGACTTCGGCCGGCGGTCTGTACCGTGCATGTGTGTGTGTGTGTGTGTGTGTGTGTGTGTGTGTGTGTGTGTTTGTGTGAGTGTTGGGCCTGTTGCCAACGGGCTCGGCTGCTTGAAGGTGTATTGGTGTACCTACCACCTTTGTTGGTTTCAGGGTTCATATACTTTCTATTTGAAGTATACATACCTGTTAACCATGGACTGCTTCTGGCTAGATTAACTCTTGTGTAATCAATGGTGCTAGTGAAGCTTATATCAGATCCAATCTGATTTAGCCACCCACACTAGTACCAAGTATTACCTTCACTGGGGGCAGGGGTACCTGCAGTTGGATCCCGGGACGGATACCCTGATGCCGTCAATCCTTTTTCTGCACCTTGTCCTCACCCACTTACTGAGGTGTGGTGAGCCCATAAGTGGGATCATTTCAAGTCCACCCTAGTTTGGGAATTTCAGGGGGTGTCGGCCGTTGGGTGGTTCAATGGCCAATTGAGTCATCTTTCCAAGATTCCTTTTGAGTCTCTCTCCCCTCTCCCGGGGAGACCCACGTGACCAGTTTTGGCAGTGAGCAAGTACAAGTACAAGTGTTTGTGTATGTGTGTACGAGAAATCAGTGATGAGCTTTTCGGTTTCTGACACAAAGATCAGCTTGTGACGTTACCCCAGTTGGAATCTCACAGTTTCGTTCTCCCGGTAAACAGAGCCTTCTATCGTTGAAACGATACCAAACCGACGGTATTATGGGTGTTCAGTACGAGTGTACTGGTGTCTCCATACATTTTGCCATGGCATACTTGTCATAATTAAAAAAAACCAGGCTGAATTTCTATTTCCCTGTTCACAAGAGAGATTGGAAACTGTGTCACAACTCTGAGTTTCACGTATTACTACAATCATCAGGCAACCTGTATTTCCCTGTTCTTGGACTTTTCTGGCCTCGAATGTGCCTGGTTCAAGTCCTGCCTGGGAACGGTTTTTCCAGCCGTGCTGCTACCCACAGTCAACTGGGAACTTGTGGCCAGGCACAAGGGGCACATGGATGCGGCTAATGGGGTCTTTCTTGGCATTTTTTTTACAAGATAACCACAAACCATCATGGTGCAAACGCCGGCAAAAACGCCAGTGGTTGTGAGACTTATCCCCTCACCCCCACCGTTAGGCGCTGCATCTGCTGCTAGAGTTTATCGGTTGTTAGTGGCCGGCGTGAGTTCCCATCGGGAACGGACACGATAATTTACTTTTTTTTTAATGTGCCAAGGAGTAATTGCACGGGTCACACAATGCAGGATGTAGTGTTTTTTTCACAATGTCTACAACTATGTGTGATAGACACCAAAAATGTGGGTGCCGGTTTCCAATGAATAGACTATAGATCCGGTGGTGTACTGGATCACGAAAGCCAGGGGCCGGATTTCACTTGCCACTGCTTCTACATGCATTCTCTTACAGCATACCCACGTCTCTGGCAGTCGGTATAACAAGCCGTACATTCCAAAGTCCCTGTATGCTACTGATGATCGGAGCTTGAAAATCGATTCTGGAAACACACAATCTCAAACCTTGAACAAATTGTCATGTTGCGTGGTGATGTCTGCGGCATTCATACTTTTCATAGCTATTATGCTATTGTTCATCACACTTTCCCGTGTGGGAAATGAAGATTCAGCTATGAGGATATTCGAGAACGTGTTTTCGGGCCTTTCTGTTTTCTTATACCGACAGGAGTTTGAGTAAGAACATGATGACCACCGTACCACCAAACGTGTTTCTAGCGCTACCCAATCTACAAGTACTGTAAGTCATTGCCTGATAATCTCTTTCTTCTGTTTTCTTTTTCAACTTAATCCTCCCTGCCCAATCTCCCTTTGGTGGGTCCATGGAGCTATGAAGCCGAGACCTCTGGTCGGCGGAGCTTAATGGGCCCCACCACCGCACTCCATTATTCACCCCAGTGTCTGGAGATATGTGGATTTTGTAGAAAAAAAAGAAAGAAAAAAATTGATGGGCCTTGCCCAGGAAACCTGATTACTGCAGTATTTCTTCTTAGATTGGCATGGCCCAGAGACAGTTATAACTTATAAGGTGTGTGGTGAGAATGTATGGTTAATGGATTGCTACAGTGGGATATGCACATATTGAGAGCACCAAGTCATTTGCAAACATTTTTGGCATTTTGACTCCAGCTGAGTCCCACGTGAATCGTGATCATTTTTTTGGCGATGAATTATGAATGTGCTAGGTCTGCTTGAAATCCATTTAGCATGTTTTCTGCATTTGAAGCTGTAGCTGAAAGGTGCCCATATGACATACATATTCTAATGCTAGAGTTGTAAAGGGTTAGGTGGTTGTCCTGCGGTTGTTACGGGGATGCCTTACGGGTTTTTTAAAGTGCGAAGACTGGCAGAGGGTTCTATTATTGGTAGGACATCGATAGGATTGTCGTGACTTGGGACACCACCAAAGTGGGTGTTCGTGGGTAACTAGAAACATCTGAAGAACACCCTGGGGAAGCTGTATGAGGGGATTGGTGGCAATCAAGATCAGAATCAAAATCTTTCAACGATCTGGTTTGAGCAGGAACATGATTTCCCCAAATCAAGCAACTTTTTGGTTGCGTATTTGGTGACCGACATTCGAGCACCGCTTTCCCTGCCGCTTTGAATCTCACTTGACCGACTCATGATTGCCACCCAGAGCACACGAGAAGTCCATCAAACCTTCCACTCGCCAAAAACCTGCAAGAAAGCACCGCTCCCTCATCAAAACACAGTGTTTCCATAAGTCTTGGTGAAGTCGTAAGAAAACCTTTCTCTGCCTGTTTGTTTCCTGTATGCGTTCCTCTGTAGACAACTGGATCAGAATCCCCTGAAACACCTCCCGAATAGGAGTTTCGAACGTTTGGATACTCTGCAAAGCCTGTAAGTGTGTGTGTGTGTACTAATAATATGAATGAACAGGCTGTGCTAATGTGTGAAGTGTTTATTCAGCTCATACAGGCAAACTTCATCCACCCGACATCAAACGAGAGAGAGAGAGAGAGAGAGAGAGAGAGAGAGAGAGAGAGTAAGAGAGAGAGAGAGAGAGAGAGAGAGAGAGAGAGAGAGAGAGAGAGAGAGAGAGAGAGAGAGACAGAGAGACAGAGAGAGAGAGGGAGGGAGAGAGAGAGAGAGAGAGAGAGAAAGAGAGAGAGTGGTGATGGGGAGAAGAGACAGAATGGAGTTCCTAGAAGTGACAGATTTGTATTTCCAGCTTCAGTCCATTCATTTTACTTAAAATCCAAAATCTAGATATTGGACCTGCTTCTCTTTCTCGATGGCATTCATAACGGCACTAAATTTGTGAAACCTGGCCGAATGTCTCACTCCTCATCTTTTGACGCGTCCAAGTCAAATGTGGCAAGAAGAAGTACATTCCACGGGTCACACCATGTACGATGTACCGTTGTTTTCACTATGGCCATGTAAGATTATCTCCCACAATAATAACGTATAATTATATTGGTGGCAATCCCACCTGTTCGGAAAACTCAATAGATGATATGCCAAATAACGTGCAACTAGACTTGGGAGGGCATTGCAGGGAAGTTGCATACAAAGTTCAAAGTTGTACGGTTACCTGTGACTTGCATTCCTGCAGAGCTCAGGGCCTACCATGTACACATTGGTGTATAATTTGTATGCAACTTGTGTGCGATGCCCTCTCAAGTCTAGTTGCGCGTTATGTATCATCTATTGACAGCTAGTTTTCAGTCTCTAGGGAGGATGACGGTAGAATATCAAGCCTGTAAACCACTAGCAGCAGGCATCACCTGTGAGGACCTCCTGCATCATCAACAGGCTTTTTTTTTTTAAACGATTGTAATGTGTTCGGCCGGAATGTTTCTCATTGCTTTGCTCTGCTGGCATTGACAGGAACTTCTCCAAAGGTTTTGGAAACATCCTCGACATCGCCACGGAAGCGTTTTACAACATGCCGGGTCTGATGACTATGTAAGTACGTCCAACATGACCATGGGTGCTGAAGTAGGTAGGAGAAGTGTTTATAAAGATCTGAGACGCAATTGAGATCATACTTACAAGTACCCGTACATTGATGTTGCCTCATGAGCTGAAATAATTAGCTGTTTGTAGCAAGGAGAGCCTGGACGAAACAAACAGCAGCTAGCGTTTAGTGCTGACGAGGTGCAAGCGTCAGGTCATTCAGTGATGGGTGTTATGCATCCTGGCCCGCCGCAAGAGATTGGAAAGCGTTGCTGGTGGCTGAACTTCAGCATTCACTCCGCCGCTACTGCACCCCACAGCAAGAAAGTGTGAAGCTTTTGTATTAGCATTACGCCTGCATTAACTCAAACTGCCGATTAATGTCCACCGTAGCATTATTGCTCCACTTTCCAGTTACTTAAAAAAGTTTACAAAATTTTCAGAACGTATAAGTTTCGGCCTCCTGGGGCTAAAACACATTTTGGCCGCACTAAAACTTCGACCTGTGCTTCTGCCTGTACACACCGTCACAATGAACCTTGCAAAACATAATTTCAGCCGCGACAAGTTTTCGGACAAAAATGCCCCAGGCCTAGAATAGTTTCCGGGCATTCTCTTCGGGCATTTTCGGGCATTCATTTGAAGAGAATGCCCGAAAACTGGTTCATGAATTTCGGACTCCTCATTGCTGGTGATGGTGAAGTATAGCTTGAGATTTGTAGTTTTTCTTTCCCTATAATAGCCGAAAATACGGTGTGCGCCGAATATTAATTAATTTTTTTTTTTGTTGGCTTACGTACACAGTAGTAAGAGATTCGGATTTCTTTTGGTTTTTGACGGACCTGGTTCGGCCTTGCAGTGTCATTTGGATTGTCTTCTCCAACATCTTCCAAACCGATCAAGGAACCCGGAAGATTCCCCAGGACGTTTTCTGAAACTTACCGTGTTGACCTGTCATACCGTACTGGCTTGTGCAGAAACCTGATTTCAAAACACGTTTTGTTTTAGTGTTCAGTGAATTATGAAATAGTGGTCGCAGCTTTAATTTAGCGATATTTCCCGTCTGCTCTGGACGGCAGTCGTGAGTCAGTCAAGTGTCAAGTGCCGAGTGAAGTCGGCGCAAAAGCGCGAGCACCAGTGTGGGAAGCAACTAACTTTCATTTAAACACTCATATCTTGCTTGTCCAGACCCTGAAGTAACGAGCACTTAAAGTCTACCAGGCACCATTCGGGCGAGTTTCAGTGGAAATGTTTCTACTTGTTCAAGTCTTTTGTCACTTTCTGTGGAATTAATGCCATCATACGCCATGTCTATGGCCTTTCCAATTTAATGAATGTGATTCGGAGATACGGACTTTTCAAAGTTGCCGGCAGTGCCCTGTCCCGGACCGCCCGGATAAGCGAGGTTTGAGTGTAATACTGTAAATGTCTGGTTTGAATAGAGGCGCGGCGCTTTCCTCCACAGGGTATCGCCTGTGTATTGCCCTCCACATCAAGGTACTTTGAGGCATTGACGAGTGATATTGTGTGTGCCCTGTGTACTGTGCCCGCTCAGCGATATATCAAACAACATGATATCAACCGTTGGATCACGAGCATTTAGCAACCTGAGCAACCTGACTAAACTGTAAGTGATGCCACAGTAACTCATCTGTGACTCCCTCAAGCTAAGGAAGTCTGCAGCTTATGATAGCATGTGACCGATGCCTTGTAAGCCTGCTACATATATTTGCTGAACTGCTCGCTCTCATGTACTGTAAAGCCAGAAAGTCTAAGGGGTCACAAAGTCTTAACGTTTTAACGATCATTTTTTCCTTATTTGAAGAAAAGTTATCGCGAGACGTCTCTGTAAATATGCGCATACAGATGGGTGGCCAGTTAGCCATCATTCAACTTTCTGCACATCATCATGTCAAAATTACAAAACGTCAAACTTGTTGGTCGTTAAACTTTCCGGTTTTACAGTTCTCTTCCTCTCTATCTACTCTCTTCCCTCCCCTCCCGCTTCCCCACTTCTTTCTCTTTCTCTCACACTTCCATTTACCTGGTGCGTCCAGAGCGATGTCGAGGCCAGTTGGTCGACGGAGCGCATGGCCCCCACCACCATGGCTGCTGTATGTTCCCATTACGTGAACCACATGGCTTTTAGTAAAAAATAAATAAAAAATAAATAAAATGTGTTCTACGACTCTGCAAAGTACACTGAAGGCAGGGGTGTCGGACATGCTACGGTCACTGTGGTATTGACCGTACCACAATTTCCCAGGCATGGTAGCTCTACCCTAGAAATCAATAAAGGCACTGATTTGTGCTTTGAATTTCACAGAGGGTGTGCGCCTTAACCTGCAATAGTGCTCAAATGCCCGGAATGGGCAGAGCGTAGTACGCAAGAGGTACACAAAAGGAAGTATACAGGGCTGTTTTTTGTTGTAACTCAGAGTTTCTTTTGTGTACCTCTTGCTTTGAATTTCGAAACGTTTCAGAGGAGCCACCCAACTCCACGAGTAAATTGTACTGCAGGTGGCTGATCGTGCCGCCCTAGGATACAATCCGACGTGTCTGGAAAAGACCAATGTCAATGATGGTCTTTCAGAGTATAAGAAGCAGCTTCCAAATCCAAGGGATGCGGTGGAGCAGGTGTGACATACCGAGCTCTGTCGACCATACTCATGACATGTGGACAGTGGAACCAACAAGGCCCACATCATGTGATCCATGGATGCAGGGGTTGAGTGGAGTTGTAACCAATATGGCTGACCTGCATGATCAAATCATTGATGTGAATGTCACTGCGCTGCATGACCCAGAAATACACTGCACGGGCATGCTTGGTTTGATGGAGCCTGAATGTCTTCCATATGCGGGGGGGGGGGGGGGGGGTGGAGCCTACTACACACCTGCACTGCTGCTAGTTCAGCAGCCCCACAGATAGCCGTTCATCATTGTCCTTTCTTCTCTTTCTATCCTTTCCCTGTCCGATCGTAGGGATTGTGTCATTCGTAAAAAGAATAAAATCAATAAATGCGTACCAAGGTTGGCTGCAAGCAGCACCGGTACTCACGCTAACCCTCCCGAACGGGGTACAGAGTGTTGCTCAACAGGTGGACTGCTCAACTGTTTCCTCAAAATTGCAATCCGAAGGGAAAACTGAGGCAGCCAAAAGCCGTTCAATCTAAGGGAAGAATTACAAAAAAAGATCTTTATCAATTTCATGTCGTCGGATATGGTATGATATGGTGCATGGTGGTGGCGGGTTGAGGATGATATAAAGTGAAGTAAAGGGAGGTGTGGCTGAAAGCACTGCCGCAATATTTTATCGGATATTCCAAATTTTATATTCGGGTAGTATCCTGGTACAGTGGTAGTCATAAGTTTGAGATGCGAGGGGGTTTGTCAACTGACAACTGCTCTATTTAGTTGCTATTCACTCTTGGCGCATGCGCTGGATGAAAATTCTTCTATTAGTGATGTCGAAAAAATTAGTCAGTTGACAAAAAAAAAAAATGTCACGGTTCGCGTGAGACTCGGCCAAAGGCCCAGTTTTCCGCATCCGCAGGAACGCCACCACCCTCTTGGATCAAGGCGCAGATGCAGCTCCTAAGCGGTGGGAGGTGAGAAGATCAGACCCGCCACAAAGTGGTCAAAGACCGAAATCCCATTCACTGCATCCATGTTTCCCTCGTGCCAGGCCACGAGTTCCCAATTAACTGTGGGTTGCAGCACGGCTGGAAAAAATCCTTGACAAACCCCCTTCTATTTACAATGCAGTTGCCTGATGTCCACCACTTTCTGAACATAAGTTTGAGGGCCGTAAAACGGGAAAAAGTCTGGAGAAATCTAGGATTTTTCTTATTCACTATGGTCAGAAGGAATTGTTCTTTAGACAACAAGATCGTGGATTTGTTCATTTATATATTTTCTGTTCTCTACTGTCCAGGGATCTGTCACACAACAAAATATCCGATTTGCCGTCGGATACGTTTTTTGCGCTGCCAAACCTCGTAATCTTGTAAGATGATGATAGTTCTGCCGTTGTTAAAGATTGAAAACACTTTTAAACAAACAATGCTTGCATTGATTTTATACACACGACATGTATGAATGAAGCGTAATGGGAAGTTTTGACCAAATCAAAAATGTAGAATTGAGCAGAGTGACTCGGATGGAGAGCCAATGATAGTAACTGGTGGTGTTAGTGGACATTATAGTGTAACTTGTGGTTTCTTGATCCTTTTCCTTTCCTATAAATTGAGCAGAGGCTAGACTTTGCCATTTAAAAGAACAGAAATTGAGCAGAGGCTAGACTTTGCCTTTTAAAAGAACAGAAATTGAGCAGAGGCTAGACTTTACCTTTTAAAAGAAGAGAAATTGAGCAGAGGCTAGACTTTACCTTTTAAAAGAAGAGAAATTGAGCAGAGGCTAGACTTTACCTTTTAAAAGAAGAGAAATTGACCAGAGGCTAGACTTTACCTTTTAAAAGAAGAGAAATTGAGCAGAGGCTAGACTTTACCTTTTAAAAGAAGAGAAATTGAGCAGAGGCTAGACTTTACCTTTTAAAAGAAGAGAAATTGAGCAGAGGCTAGACTTTACCTTTTAAAAGAAGAGAAATTGAGCAGAGGCTAGATTTTACCTTTTAAAAGAACAGAAATTGAGCAGAGGCTAGACTTTACCTTTTAAAAGAACAGAAATTGAGCAGAGGCTAGACTTTACCTTTTAAAAGAACAGAAATTGAGCAGAGGCTAGACTTTACCTTTTAAAAGAACAGAAATTGAGCAGAGGCTAGACTTTACCTTTTAAAAGAAGAGAAATTGAGCAGAGGCTAGACTTTACCTTTTAAAAGAACAGAAATTGAGCAGAGGCTAGACTTTACCTTTTAAAAGAAGAGAAATTGAGCAGAGGCTAGACTTTACCTTTTAAAAGAACAGAAATTGAGCAGAGGCTAGACTTTACCTTTTAAAAGAAGAGAAATTGAGCAGAGGCTAGACTTTACCTTTTAAAAGAACAGAAATTGAGCAGAGGCTAGACTTTACCTTTTAAAAGAACAGAAATTGAGCAGAGGCTAGACTTTACCTTTTAAAAGAACAGAAATTGAGCAGAGGCTAGACTTTACCTTTTAAAAGAACAGAAATTGAGCAGAGGCTAGACTTTACCTTTTAAAAGAAGAGAAATTGAGCAGAGGCTAGACTTTACCTTTTAAAAGAACAGAAATTGAGCAGAGGCTAGACTTTACCTTTTAAAAGAAGAGAAATTGAGCAGAGGCTAGACTTTACCTTTTAAAAGAACAGAAATTGAGCAGAGGCTAGACTTTACCTTTTAAAAGAAGAGAAATTGAGCAGAGGCTAGACTTTACCTTTTAAAAGAAGAGAAATTGAGCAGAGGCTAGACTTTACCTTTTAAAAGAAGAGAAATTGAGCAGAGGCTAGACTTTACCTTTTAAAAGAAGAGAAATTGAGCAGAGGCTAGACTTTACCTTTTAAAAGAACAGAAATTGAGCAGAGGCTAGACTTTACCTTTTAAAAGAAGAGAAATTGAGCAGAGGCTAGACTTTACCTTTTAAAAGAAGAGAAATTGAGCAGAGGCTAGACTTTACCTTTTAAAAGAACAGAAATTGAGCAGAGGCTAGACTTTACCTTTTAAAAGAACAGAAATTGAGCAGAGGCTAGACTTTACCTTTTAAAAGAACAGAAATTGAGCAGAGGCTAGACTTTACCTTTTAAAAGAACAGAAATTGAGCAGAGGCTAGACTTTACCTTTTAAAAGAACAGAAATTGAGCAGAGGCTAGACTTTACCTTTTAAAAGAACAGAAATTGAGCAGAGGCTAGACTTTACCTTTTAAAAGAACAGAAATTGAGCAGAGGCTAGACTTTACCTTTTAAAAGAAGAGAAATTGAGCAGAGGATAGACTTTACCTTTTAAAAGAACAGAAATTGAGCAGAGGCTAGACTTTACCTTTTAAAAGAAGAGAAATTGAGCAGAGGCTAGACTTTACCTTTTAAAAGAAGAGAAATTGAGCAGAGGCTAGACTTTACCTTTTAAAAGAACAGAAATTGAGCAGAGGATAGACTTTACCTTTTAAAAGAACAGAAATTGAGCAGAGGCTAGACTTTACCTTTTAAAAGAAGAGAAATTGAGCAGAGGCTAGACTTTACCTTTTAAAAGAACAGAAATTGAGCAGAGGCTAGACTTTACCTTTTAAAAGAAGAGAAATTGAGCAGAGGCTAGACTTTACCTTTTAAAAGAAGAGAAATTGAGCAGAGGCTAGACTTTACCTTTTAAAAGAAGAGAAATTGAGCAGAGGCTAGACTTTACCTTTTAAAAGAAGAGAAATTGAGCAGAGGCTAGACTTTACCTTTTAAAAGAAGAGAAATTGAGCAGAGGCTAGACTTTACCTTTTAAAAGAACAGAAATTGAGCAGAGGCTAGACTTTACCTTTTAAAAGAACAGAAATTGAGCAGAGGCTAGACTTTACCTTTTAAAACAAGAGAAATTGAGCAGAGGCTAGACTTTACCTTTTAAAAGAACAGAAATTGAGCAGAGGCTAGACTTTACCTTTTAAAAGAAGAGAAATTGAGCAGAGGCTAGACTTTACCTTTTAAAAGAACAGAAATTGAGCAGAGGCTAGACTTTACCTTTTAAAAGAACAGAAATTGAGCAGAGGCTAGACTTTACCTTTTAAAAGAACAGAAATTGAGCAGAGGCTAGACTTTACCTTTTAAAAGAACAGAAATTGAGCAGAGGCTAGACTTTACCTTTTAAAAGAACAGAAATTGAGCAGAGGCTAGACTTTACCTTTTAAAAGAAGAGAAATTGAGCAGAGGCTAGACTTTACCTTTTAAAAGAAGAGAAATTGAGCAGAGGCTAGACTTTACCTTTTAAAAGAAGAGAAATTGAGCAGAGGCTAGACTTTACCTTTTAAAAGAAGAGAAATTGAGCAGAGGCTAGACTTTACCTTTTAAAAGAACAGAAATTGAGCAGAGGCTAGACTTTACCTTTTAAAAGAACAGAAATTGAGCAGAGGCTAGACTTTACCTTTTAAAAGAACAGAAATTGAGCAGAGGCTAGACTTTACCTTTTAAAAGAACAGAAATTGAGCAGAGGCTAGACTTTACCTTTTAAAAGAAGAGAAATTGAGCAGAGGCTAGACTTTACCTTTTAAAAGAAGAGAAATTGAGCAGAGGCTAGACTTTACCTTTTAAAAGAACAGAAATTGAGCAGAGGCTAGACTTTACCTTTTAAAAGAACAGAAATTGAGCAGAGGCTAGACTTTACCTTTTAAAAGAAGAGAAATTGAGCAGAGGCTAGACTTTACCTTTTAAAAGAAGAGAAATTGAGCAGAGGCTAGACTTTACCTTTTAAAAGAACAGAAATTGAGCAGAGGCTAGACTTTACCTTTTAAAAGAACAGAAATTGAGCAGAGGCTAGACTTTACCTTTTAAAAGAAGAGAAATTGAGCAGAGGCTAGACTTTACCTTTTAAAAGAAGAGAAATTGAGCAGAGGCTAGACTTTACCTTTTAAAAGAAGAGAAATTGAGCAGAGGCTAGACTTTACCTTTTAAAAGAAGAGAAATTGAGCAGAGGCTAGACTTTACCTTTTAAAAGAAGAGAAATTGAGCAGAGGCTAGACTTTACCTTTTAAAAGAACAGAAATTGAGCAGAGGCTAGACTTTACCTTTTAAAAGAAGAGAAATTGAGCAGAGGCTAGACTTTACCTTTTAAAAGAAGAGAAATTGAGCAGAGGCTAGACTTTACCTTTTAAAAGAACAGAAATTGAGCAGAGGCTAGACTTTACCTTTTAAAAGAACAGAAATTGAGCAGAGGCTAGACTTTACCTTTTAAAAGAACAGAAATTGAGCAGATGCTAGACTTTACCTTTTAAAAGAACAGAAATTGAGCAGAGGCTAGACTTTACCTTTTAAAAGAACAGAAATTGAGCAGAGGCTAGACTTTACCTTTTAAAAGAACAGAAATTGAGCAGAGGCTAGACTTTACCTTTTAAAAGAACAGAAATCGAGCAGAGGCTAGACTTTACCTTTTAAAAGAAGAGAAATTGAGCAGAGGCTAGACTTTACCTTTTAAAAGAAGAGAAATTGAGCAGAGGCTAGACTTTACCTTTTAAAAGAAGAGAAATTGAGCAGAGGCTAGACATTACCTTTTAAAAGAACAGAAATTGAGCAGAGGCTAGACTTTACCTTTTAAAAGAAGAGAATAGCACGACTCTGCAAACATACATATGCACCAGATAATGGTACTGTGGTACTGTGGTACTGTGGTCCTGTGGTACTGTGGTACTGTGGTACTGTGGTACTGTGGTACTGTGGTACTGTGGTACTGTGGTACTGTGGCACTGTGGTACCGTGGTACTGTGGTACGGTGGTGCTGTGGTACTGTGGTGCTGTGGTGCTGTGGTGCTGTGGTACTGTGGTACTGTGGTACTGTGGTACTGTGGTACTGTGGTGCTGTGGTGCTGTGGTGCTGTGGTGCTGTGGTACTGGGGTACTGTGGTACTGTGGTACTGTGGTACTGTGGTACTGTGGTGCTGTGGTGCTGTGGTACTGTGGTACTGTGGTACTGTGGTGCTGTGGTACTGTGGTACTGTGGTACTGTGGTACTGTGGTCCTGTGGTACTGTGGTGCTGTGGTACTGTGGTACTGTGGTACTGTGGTACTGTGGTACTGTGGTCCTGTGGTGCTGTGGTCCTGTGGTGCTGTGGTACTGTGGTGCTGTGGTACTGTGGTACTGTGGTACTGTGGTGCTGTGGTGCTGTGGTACTGTGGTGCTGTGGTACTGTGGTACTGTGGTACTGTGGCACTGTGGTACTGTGGTACTGTGGTACTGTGGTGCTGTGGCACTGTGGTGCTGTGGTACTGTGGTACTGTGGTGCTGTGGTCCTGTGGTGCTGTGGTGCTGTGGTACTGTGGTACTGTGGTACTGTGGTGCTGTGGTGCTGTGGTACTGTGGTGCTGTGGCACTGTGGTGCTGTGGTGCTGTGGTACTGTGGTACTGTGGTGCTGTGGTCCTGTGGTGCTGTGGTACTGTGGTACTGTGGTACTGTGGTACTGTGGTACTGTGGTGCTGTGGTACTGTGGTACTGTGGTGCTGTGGTGCTGTGGTGCTGTGGTACTGTGGTACTGTGGTACTGTGGTACTGTGGTACTGTGGTACTGTGGTGCTGTGGTACTGTGGTACTGTGGTGCTGTGGTGCTGTGGTGCTGTGGTACTGTGGCACTGTGGTACTGTGGTACTGTGGTACTGTGGTACTGTGGTGCTGTGGTGCTGTGGTACTGTGGTACTGTGGTGCTGTGGTACAGTGGTACTGTGGTGCTGTGGTGCTGTGGTGCCTTGGTACTGTCTATGGATTGTCTTCCGTCTGGCAGCATATAACACTCGGAACTGGTTAGGAAAAGAGGGGTGCCTTGAGATGGGGAGGTTCTTCCTTATTATATTGGTATATCAATTACTTGAGAGAAAAGAGAGAGAGAGAGACAGAGAGAGAGAGACAGAGAGACAGAGAGACAGAGAGAGAGAGAGAGAGAGAGAGAGAGAGAGAGAGAGAGAGAGAGAGAGAGAGAGAGAGAGAGAGAGAGAGAGAGAGAGAGAGAGAGAGAGAGAGAGAGAGAGAGAGAGAGAGAGAGAGAGAGAGAGAGACATGAGGGGAAGGGAGAAAAGATGGAAAGAGACGTTTCATTTCTTCAGAATTTGGCATTTTTGTGTCTTTGTGCAGAGATCTGTCTGATAACAAAATTTCCCACGTTCGGAAATTCCCTAATCTGCCTGCTTTGGCTGTCTTGTAAGTTGCTCGGATCACAACGCACTGACATACATCACAATATAAAACATACACCTGGTTTTTACCCCTCGCTACTGTGTCCATCGGCCTGAGGTTTTTTCCTGGCTGGCTTGGTCCAGGTAAATTTATCTGACGGGCCCAAGTGGTTCTGTACCATGGCCCATTCCTGCATTCTGGGTGCATACCGTATTTCCCCGTAAGTTAGTATGTACTAACTTTCGAACTTAGCAGCCACATGAGTACTAACTTTCGGGGGTGGTACTATCTTTCGGGGACTACTTTTTTATCGAGGGTAAATGACACGCAGTGGGAAGCCTGCGCAACTCTAGTGTCCGTGCATATGATGTATGTACTGTACGGTGTCTGTACATGTAGGACGGGTACGAACTTACTATCTTTCGGGGGAACTGTCTTTCGGGGTGATAGTGGAAAGTGTATTTTTTATAGGGGGTACTAAGTCATTGGGGAGAACTAACTTACGGGGAAATACGGTAACCTATTTTTCCACTGAGACATTCTGCTCCCAGCCCTTTTTTCTAGACTTTTCTCGTTAACCGGCTCAAATCTGGCTGTGGCCTATTACCCTTCAATGTATGTGCCGTTGCCTTTTTTTTCTCTGTCTCTCCGTGTGCCAGTATTATGTGGAAACAAGAAGCATAAAAAAAACTCACGTTTCGCTTCAGACTCGGCTAGAGGTCGAGTTTTCGCGTCCGTAGGAGAGCCACCATCCTTCCAGGATCAAGTCTGTCTGGCATGCAGAATATGACAGAAGTGATTAGGAAAGGAGTGATGCTTTAGATGGCAAGAAGAAGCTTTGTTTGTCATTATACTCCCGATTGCTTGAAAACAGGTTTTTCGCCTGAAATCAGGCGCCCTCTCTAATCCTGCAGTGTCTGGTCAATCTTCATCATGTGGATATAGGCGCTAACACGAACACTAATCTAAAGCTGTACAGCAGACTTACTACTAGTACCGTAACATTCCACCAGAGCGCCCCTACCTCCACCACCCTTCGAGTAGGTCCAGGTGGGGAGGGGCAGATGGGCGAGTCCTACTTACCGCATTCAGTACTACATGAAAAAGTACTCACCCTGCGAAAACTGTTCGTGCATCTCGTACACCAACCAAAGGATAAGAGCCACCGGTGGCTGCATACTATGCCATTTTGCATTGCAAAAGAGGCTGCGTAGAATACTTTTAACCCATTCACCGGGGTTAACTTAGACATGGCAAAGGAGGCTACCTGGCGGCACCCTGCTGGAAGCGAGTTCCGACTTGCGAGCGTGTACTCAAACAATACCGACTGATACATACCACAACGGATCAGCCATAGGGCATATAATTGTTATGATTGCCTCCTAGGAAGTTTTGAAAGCGCGTTTAGGACTTGCTGGATAGACATACCATGAATACTTTATTGAATTTCTAACAAAAATTGTGTTGGAAGAAATATGTAGACAATGAAAAAGGCTTCGAACTAGCTTTCGTGCAATACTCTTCAGGAAGTTTCATTGCACTAATGGACAAACTGAAAATAGCTGACTACAACATACCCGGTAACTTTCTTATTCATCTAATAATACTGCCGAAGTCGCAACTTCTAAGTTCGTGTAATTGTCCCTCGCGCGGAGTTGCGACTAGTTGTCGGAGGTGACAGCGTAGTGAATAGCTACTGGCTCTCAGCGTCAAAGTTTAGCACAACTCCATGAGCGACTCTGCCTCTCGCTGCTACCTGGGGCCGCATAAGGTGTTTGTCGCGCTGGAAATGGAGCGTCTCTGTAAGTAACTAGATACTATCCCTGGTGATGATTTTGCCTGGAGAGCCGCACTATAAATATAATATATAAGTGAACCTTTCAGGCGCAATTTTCCTCAGACTAAACACTGTGTATTGAGCAGGTTTGCCGAGTGGAAGGTGCGATGTGCTCCCCGTGTGCTCCGGATGGCAGTCGTGAGTCAATCAAGTGTCAAGTTTGGCAGGAAGCGTGTGTTCCTCGTCGGAGCAACCAACTAATTACTTCATCACAATTTTTTGTAACAAATTAAAAAAAGTATTCATTGTACGTCCTACTATGTCGATCCAGCTTGTCCTATTGGTTGTGATTTTGAAACTATTGTCTCCTCATCCCTTATCCTGGGAAGTTGTTCATTATAATGCCTAGTTCAGTTTCCTCTTCTCTGTGAAACCCTAACAGTAACCTAGGTCATTTTGTGTAATTGTCCAGTTCTAAAATTTACTTTGTGTGATCATCTTCTTTTGAGTTTTTGGCATGATTGGATGGAAAGCGTTGCCATTCTGTTAATTTTGTTTGTTTCTCAAGGGATTTGTACCAGAATCGCATATCGAGCATAGAAAGCAATGCACTAGAATTTCTGCCTGCTCTCGCCAAAGTGTAAGTGCTGATGGTACTGTGAATACTGAAGTATTGAGGGTGAAACGGAACAATGGCAAAACACACACACACACACACACACACACACACACACACACACACACACACACACACACACACACACATGCACACACACACACACACGCACACTGTCACACACACAGACACACACACACACACGCACACACACACACCGTCACGCACACACCATCACACACACATACTCACACAAATACACACAAATACACACGCACACACACACACACGCATACAAACAAACACACACACACACACACGCCTTGTCTTGCATTCAGCTACCAGCCCCTGCCACAAAGCTACTGGTGAATATCACAAACAGGTCACTTGTGACATGTGTCCTAGCCTGCAAAACCCTAATCCCTGGTCTATACTAGGCCGATATTTTTGGCTGGTGTTCCGACTCCGACATGTAATCGGCCGAATGGGTCGGACTACCTATACACACACAAAATATTGTTGGAAAGTGACTGACAACAACATCCACACTAGGCAATTTCTCACCGATCTTGAGGAGTTTTCATACGATTCCACATCGGCCGAAAAATCCGCCTAGTGTGGTCCAGGCTTATCACTAAATCGACGGTTTTCCACACTCTTCCACGAGGAGCACACAACTCAGGGAGCACGAAACTCCCCCGGATGATGCTTGCTGACGGGTGAGGTCCCCTGTCGCATAGCACAGTCTTTCCGCTGGCACATACTAGCACGCTGCAGTGATTCAATGGTGAACTGCAAGTCCTCTACAAAAATTAATACAAGACATAGATCTACGATCCTACAGCTACAAAGCTCCTCGCAGCCTCGCTCAGACACAGAGGAAGTGATGCCCTGAAACTCGTTACGTACCTTCTTGTTATGTAGACTCGTCTACCTTCACGTCGTGAGCAGCACGGAAGGTACGCGCCCACATAATCAACATCACGGTACCACGCGGCATGCATCGACCAACCATTTCCGTGGCCGTCTCCGTGCACCTCCTTCCACGGCGCAGTCGCTCAGAGAGTGGCCGAGACGAGTGAGTTGAGTTCACCACTCTCCGCCAGGCAGTCAACCCTCTGCCACGAAGCACCATTACAGTCTCCTCATTCCGCGGACATGGCTCGCTCACCGCAGGAACAGGCTGAGCAGACGAGAAGAACCTGAGCAGCTTCACGATCGATGGAATACGAGTCTCGGCCAAACCGCTTCGTCTAACGACGTCCAGTCGGCTCGATATTGAGGATCTCCAGGAGGGAGAGAATAATATCCAAGTTTCCGTCGTCGCGCACTCTTCCCGGAAAATACTCGCAGTCTCAACCGACCCAAGTCGAGTCCGTTCACCCTTAGCGGATTTTCCAAGAACGGAAGCGACAGGTCCGCTGCCGAACCAGGCAGGCCACCTGTCCTTTCCACTCTCAAACTCATTCATCCCCAGCGCCCCATGAGCGGATCGAGGATAAACAAATAATTCTTTCGAGTCCTGGCAAAGGCACTGCAAAATCGTCGGGACATCACGATTCAGGAACCAACGAGTGGTGTAAACAGACGACACTCCGAACTTGGAATCGGTCGCTTTTTCACCCTGCTTGGCAAGTTGGCGCTCCAAGGAAAGGTACAACTGCCCACATGTAGGCTATGGCCTAGGCCTAGGGGTGGTCAAGCCTGCTCTGCACAAACGTTTTGAACAGAAACCCTCAGAAAAAGAAGAGCTAAAACTTCCCAGAAGGAAAACTCTTTCAACCCTGCAACTGAATCAGTGAATACAGGTTCATTCGACGTTGGACTGCCCTGCAACCGTCTTGGTTTCAAGAGTTTTCTAGTGAGAACATTTCGAGGAAACGTCTTTGCGAGCGCATCGGAAGCGCTCCCTGATCAATGCAGGATTCAGTGGGCCTGCAGCTTTTAGGTGCGAAAATTCACACAATCAACGTGCGGATCACTACAAACTGTCTGTGCATTTTCGTACCCACCAGTGACCTGCCACCTGACTCCTGGCTTCAAAAGTAGCAGCAGTCTGCTTCACAACCTTTCTCCCTCCAGCAGCCCCACCTCTACAGTCCATTCAGAAAAGGTTGATATCCTAGCTTTTGGCCATAAACAGGTCACATTTTGAGTTTTCGTCTCCTTTTTTTTGGCAATCCCCCATGGAATCCTCTTCCAATTCTGTTTTTGAAGTCTATTTCTGCAAAAAGCAAGCCATAACAAGAAAAGGATTTCGGCCAGGTTTTGCCCCCAAAGCACTGAATTGGGTAAAAACCATGAAAATCCAGGCCGTTCACTCCACTTGCATAACAGTACATTTGCGGTTCGAACCCCAGTTGAGGTGCCTTTTTGGACCCTTTTTCAAGTTTCGAATCGCGCGGCACTGCACAGTGTACCACAAAATCGCCAAACACGGGAGCTCTCCAGAGCCAGCGCTCAATAGGCTCCGGCGGATTATGCTCGCGAAATCAAGGAATTATACTTTCATGGATTCTCGCATTATGCTCGTAAAATCCTCATAATTATTATGCTTTGGCACCCGGGGATATACATTCACTTTGTTGTACTTATGGAGCCTCCAAGTTCGGGAAATTGTGCCTTTTTTCGTACTTGCAAGTTGTAAGTCACAGTGGCCATAAGTACAACAAAATACATGTACATGAGTATCCTCATACCAAGGTGTCCGTCCATGCATGTAAGAGCCTAAGGGGTCAACATGGAAAAGAAAAAAAAAAAACTTCTTCTATTCCTTACTTGATTTCTTTTGTACTTCAGTAAAAATATTATTTCATTGCCAAATTAGTTTGAGTTACCTTTGAAAATTATCATGTTCAACTGTCTTCGTAATCATCATATCCGTCCAACCGATGTCACCATGGGCCTCACCCTGCGAATAATCAGCTCATCTCTCCCGTAGCTCCACTTCTCCTTCCATCATGACCGAACATCTACTATACATCAATTTAGAGCAATATTCGTACCCTGCAGTCATATCATGGCTGCTAAAATCCAGACTGGTCATGACTTCGTAACATGCATAATGTACATGTACAAATGTAATGTACGTGTACCGGTACATGTTCACGTAGTTTTGCGGACTACCCGCCACTATCTCTTCCGCCCCGGGATACCTGATGAAGGCTGATTCACTCGCATCTTCTGCTACATGTACTGAGTCAGTGTGAGAAAGAACTTTGAAGAAGACGAGTTCGAGCATACGATATAATCATAATGTATTGCCATGATTTCTACCCTGCTTTTCATTGAAAACACTATCCGCATGACCTCTGAACCCTGTACCATGCAGACCACCAGCACTGATCAGGTGCATTGTACACAGTTGTCGTGATAGCCTACATACTACTAGAACTGTGGCACAGTCATGTAGTTATGCGCCTACCTCCGAAAGGATGCCAAATTATGCTCCAAATTTTCAACCACCAAATTATGCCAATAATTCTGCCGGCATAATGCGCCGGTGCCTAGCGCTCAACCTTTTCTGAATGCACTACATGTAGCTGTGCAGACTGGGAAGGAAATGATAGTGTGGTTAGTTGTAGAGAGGGCTATCTTCCCCAGATTCACAAAAAAACCTTTTCAAATTTCATGTCCATCTTGCCGATAAATCGAAAATGCAGTCAAAATAGAATAATTGTCGAACAGGTCACATGACCTATAGACATCACAGAAAATTGTACTACTTATTTAGCACGTGGTCTCTTTGTGGTACATGTACCGTAAAGTACCGCCAGAGCGCCCCACCATCTCATCCTTTCGTGGTCGTATTGTGGAGGTGGTCGGCTGTCTGTAGGTCATACGACATGAACCTTGTACACATATTGCACGTTTTGCAGTCAATCCGCACCTTCAAGCTGACACAAGCTCCACACAAAAACCTGCCAAGTGTGACCTTAGTACACTAAGATTCTCACATCGTACACACTTCGTTGCACTCTGCCATACGATTTTCCTTTCTCTGGCTGTAAAATCAAGATGGGGCGCTCTCGCGAGACGGGGCGCTCTGGCGGTACTTAACGGTACATGTACCATGAAAAAGCCCTAATAGTCATAGGCTAATAGTATTGGCCATTTGACTTTCTGCCTCTTTTGTTCATCCCAAACAGGAGGTTGCATAACAATGCGTTGTCCTACCTACCCTCAAACGTGCTTGAAAGGCTGCCAAAACTTCAATGGCTGTAAGTCACAACCAATCAAACAGGTACCCTTCATCTCTCTCTTCCCATACTTCCCTTTTCAATTCCCTTTTCCCCCGCCCACCCTTCTGTCCAGGAAACTCCCATGATATGTATCCATTTGCGAGTGAAGATACCTTCAAATACTATAATTGTCACTAAACGAATGCCTGCCTACGGAAAGAGAGCAAGCTAGATCGATCCACTCAAAGTCCAGTTTTTTCACTCGGCTCCGCCAGTGTATCCATTGGATGGTATTTCCTGATACCCTAAAGTCTCTGATAGCACATAGACCAGTGAGCTATGAGCAGCAGGAAAACTGTGTTTGGTATCCGACATACTTCTTATCACAACATAATACAGTAAATGAAGAAAGGAAAAGGACAAAATGTTACGAGTTATGACTAACTGTCCACCAACGTAACCAGATCTTATACAGCCAACAAGTGCGACAAAATGGCACAAAACTGACAGGGAGTACTGAGACATTCGGTGACCTGACAATTAGGTAGGACACCTAGGTCGCCAAATGTCTCAGTGCTCCTTGTCAGTTTTGTGCCATTTTGTCGCACTTGGTGGCTGTATAAGATCTTGTTACGTTGGTGGACAGTTTGTCATAACTCGTAACATTTTGTCCTTTTCCTTTCTTCATCATAACTATAATTATTGGCTCACCATCCGAGTTCAAATTAATTAATACAGTAAACTTCGCTAATAACGACTGCGTATATATTACTATATAACGACAATTCGCGAATAGCGACAGAATTTTCATGCCCAGAGCAAAGTCCCATCCAACTGTAATACATAATGAGACTTCGGGTATAACGACACTTTGCAAATAAGGACACGTTTCTGATGCCCCGCCGAGTGTTGTTACCGTAAAGTACCGTTGATCCGCCCCCACGCCATGTCGCTTCCCAGCTGGGTTTTCGGCAGGGGGCGGGAATTAGATCAAGGCTGTCAAGTGCAGTACGATGTGCAACAACGTGGAGGATCAGACTCGATGTGCTGGATTGTGCACATTTTGATCCTGGATTGGCAAGTATTGTGTACAGCAGTGCATGCGTCGCTTCAACATCATATTTCGTTGTATACGCCGAAGTCGCTTCACAGGTAGAAAATCGCCGGGGGAGGGGGGGGATTAGAGAGGGGGCGGATCAACGGTACTTTACGCTGTATACCCAAGGTTCACTGTATATAGTCATGTACTCCGGGCTATGTTCGGAATTTAGCACTAGTATTCACTCCTGTGTGCAACTGACTATGAAAACACGAATGTGAGATAAGAACAAACGTTTTCTCTTCCTGGTTGTTTCCTTTCTTTCCAGGAGACTGGACCACAATCCAATTGGCCGCTTCCCAGGAAGGAGCTTCTCAAACTTGGCTATTCTGGAAAACCTGTAAGTTCAATGTGACTACAAAAAATGTAATAATATGTCAAGAGAAAACAACCTTTAAGTTACTAGTTATGAATAACAGTCCACCAAAGTAATGCGTCACGTAGTAACTTACTTATGGGTCCTATTCTCTTTCCACATCACTATTTGCTCAACATGCGAGTTTTTATTCAGCACACAAAAAGTATTGTGAACAAGAAGAGTGTGTTATGACTAGTATTCGACACGTTCTTGGGTTCTTCAGTAGTTCTCATATCTACCCAAGACCAAGTGGAGAGGGATAGGAGATATAGTCGACTCCACTTATAACGTGACGAACACGCAATGTAGCGAAATTCGTGATAAAGCGAACTGTTGTCCATGTCCCAGTTTGAACCCACAGTGTAACTCCATTTCTGTTATAACGAACTTCGGTTATAAAGAACTATTTACTCTCCTGCACAATGGTGTTCGTCATATCAGGAGTGCACTGTAGACAGATGGAGATAGAGAGATAACGAGTGTGTGCATGTGCGCGTTCTTGCCTGCATGCATCCGCGGGGCGTGCCTGTTTGCATGTGTGAAAGAAAGAGTTACAAACAGACAGAGACAGGGACGGACGAACTGTCAAACAGGGAATGAGAGCGAGAGGAGAAGGAGAGACTCCGAGAAAGAGAGAGAGGGAGAAAGAGAGAGAGGGAGAAAGAGAGAGAGGGAGAAAGAGAGAGAGAGAGAGAGAGAGAGAGAGAGAGAGAGAGAGAGAGAGAGAGAGAGAGAGAGAGAGAGAGAGAGAGAGAGAGAGAGAGAGAGAGAGAGAGAGAGAGAGAGAGAGAGAGAGGGGGAGAGAGAGAGAGAGAGAGAGAGAGAGAGAGAGAGAGAGAGAGAGAGAGAGAGAGAGAGAGAGAGGAGAGAGAGAGAGAGAGAGAGAGAGAGAGAGAGAGAGAGAGATAGAGAGAGAGAGAGAGAGAGAGAGAGAGAGAGAGAGAGAGAGAGAGAGAGAGAGAGAGAGAGAGAGAGAAGAGAGAGAGAGAGAGAGAGAGAGAGAGAGAGAGAGAGAGAGAGAGAGAGAGAGAGAGAGAGAGAGAGAGAGAGAGAGAGAGAGAGAGAGAGAGAGAGAGAGAGAGAGAGAGAGAGAGAGAGAGGAGAGAGGAGAGAGAGAGAATATATTGTGAAATAGAGGCAGACAGAGAGTTAGTCTAAAAAAAGATAACGAAACAAAGAGAGAAGGAAAGAGAAAAAATTCAGACAGGACATTTATAATTCTCATAAGAATACTGGTGGAGTAGCGGTAGTGTGATTCATACTGTATGATAGTGTGTTTCATACTGTATGATAGTGTGATTGGCTCTCAGAGACCTTTTGTAGAATTTCGGCAACTATACCGATCATGCCAAATATTGTCCATGGGAAAGACTTAGTTTGACTTGGGTGGAGAGCTAAGGAAAAGAGGACCACCGAAGAACTGCAGGTTACGTTTAGTTATATTACCGCATGAGCTGATTGTAAAGTGACTGGTGGTGTTAGTGGATAATCATAGCGTAGCTTCTAGCTCTTTGGTCGTTTTCATCTTATAAGGAACGGCTTGGAGCCACAATAGAGTGAACAACGAGACGCGCATGATGACCGTGACTGGTCCACAGTAATTGAAATTCTGTCTGCGTAACAGAAGCAAGGCGGTGGAGATCACCCACCTTACTGCTACCAGAACCAATTTCTTGAAAAATGCCTTAGTTCAAAGTAATAGTACCCTACACATCAAAAGCCACCTGCGTTGCGAAGAGCTGAGGAGAAATATTTTGCAATTCATTTTAACAGAAGTCGGAGGCGGATAATAATTTTCCAAACGAAGGGTGTTTAGCAAGCATTCGCGCAATTTTGCATCCAGACAACAAGGCACTTCTCATTAGTATGGCATCAAACGTCAAAACTGTGTGCTTGTTGACTATGTGTAAAATTTGGTGCTGCCCAAACGTACTAGTACCTTGATTTGGACAGTTCCTTTAGATTGATTCTTTAATTCGTCGACATTAAAATGTTTTCAGCCGGGATTCTTGTCGTTTGTTTCTTCTGCTGCTGTGAATAGGGTCTTCTCTGTAGGTTTTGGAAACATCAGCATGATCGAGAGCGAAGCATTCTACAACTTGTCAGGCCTGGTAAAAATGTAAGTGCTTCCAACAAGGCCATGCTTGCCGAAGAAGATAGGAAAAACGTGTATAGATTGGCACGTGCAGATTCTGCAGGATTTGCATTGTTCTTGCAATATGAGCCTCCTCGTTCTCTGGCACATTGTTCTTGCACACTTACATTCAACTGAGCATCCTGTTCACTGATGTGGCTTGTATCTGTGCCCTCTGCCTGCTCAGCGATCTTTCTAAAAATCGGATATCGACAATTCAATCACAGGGTTTTACTGGACTGCCCAAGCTCACAACAGTGTAAGAATGCAGGAAAGAGTTCATGACAAACTAGCATTTTCTAGGGAGTCCCAAATAGCAAAAACAATAATGAGATTCAATTCATGGAAGCTTAGTTGATGGGGAAGGGAAACAAATTGTTAATTTTATGTTCAGAAGAAAGAGGGAGATGAATAGTGGTCAAGTTCCATGTCTGCATCGATTTTTTATCACATTGCACAAACTGTAGTGCTGGGATTAGTGCTATCATAGTGGTCAGTGTTATGTTGTAGAGTATAGGCTATAGCATTAACGCCATCATACTATAGTGTAGAGTTCGGCACATTCTGTATTGTGTTATAAGCCGAGTGTCGCATCATGCAGAATCAGAATACAGATCTTCTGGAACCAAGCAGTTGCTCTGGCAAGCGTGGGCTACGGTACTACATTGGCGCAGTGAACCGGCAGGAGCATTTTTTATTTTTTTTACTAGAGCCACGTAAACCCGTCATGTGTGACCATGAATAAGGGGAGTGGTGGCGTGGTCTGGGATGCTCATCCGACCTCTGGATGCTATGGCGAAGGGCCGGCCACCCAGGGAATTTCATCCTGACTTCGGACAAGACACGGGTGCCGACTTCGACCTAAAGCTGGAGGATGTGAACGACTACATGAAGATCTGTCAAGTTTCGACTCCAGAGGACAAGAAATGTCTCTTCTTGAATCTGGCTGGTCTTGGGATCAGGAAGATTGTCAAGGGTCTTGTTGTTCCCGCTCCAAGTGATGCAACACACGACGACCCAGGAGACACATACAAAGCCCTTACAGAGGCAGTCCGTGCTCATTTTCGCCCATCCAGAAACACGACGTCTGAAAGGCACAAGTTTCGGCAGATTAAACAGACGCCAGATGAATCTGTCTCCACCTTCGTTAGTCGGTTACGCGAGAAGGTGGAGTGGTGTGACTTTGCAGCGACAGACGTGGACTCGGTCGTCATCACACAGGTGCGTGACCAACTGATTGCAGGGTTGCGATCGCAGGAGCTGCGACGGGAACTGCTAAAGGAGGCAAAGCTGACGCTAGCGGATGCCGTTTCAAAGGCCGTGGCCCTAGAAGCATCTTTCTCCGACTGCAAGCTATAAAAAAGTTGGACGAGTCCAGGAGGCTTGGAGACATCAGCGCCTAGAGCACCAGAATTGGCTGCTGTAGTTTCGGGCAGCGTCTCGGTTGGAATCGGAAGTGGCGACCGGCTCGCCATGGGGAAGACGTCCACCAAAAGCCTAGGATGCAAATACTGTGGTCGTGTACATGCCAAAGGCAAGCAATTTTGCTCGGCTGCAAATGTAAGGTGTCTGGACTGTGGCAAAGTAGGTCATTTCGCAGCAGTCTGCCTCTCCAGCAAAGCTCATGCGGTGCAGGATGAGGACAGTGAAGCCACGCGAATTGTGTACGATTCGATTTACGCTTGCAGCGACAAGGCAGCCAGTGGTCAATTCACTATGACGCTCATGGTGAATGTCAGGCCGTGCAAGGGACTTCTCGATACCAGCGCAAGACTAGCAATGGCGGCGAAGTCAAGACCCTTGGCATGGCGAATGTCGATGTTGCCGTCGGGGAAAGGTCAATCCAATGCGAGTGTTTCGTCGTACCGGCAGGCCAGCAAACTGTACTGTTTGGCCAGGATGTTATCGCATTGTAGGCGCGCAGCTTACAATCACTGCAGCGAGTGGGTTGTAGCACATCATCCGTCAGGATTGTCCGTGTTGCGTGAGTCAGTGTCGCTCCTGGACGGTGAGACAGACGTCGAGGACCCTCGGTCATTCGCAACGCTGTCACCTCCAAACCAACTAGTCGCAAGCCCGCGCTGGGCACAACAGTACGAAGTAGTGGTTGCGAGTTCGGCGATGATTTGTAAGAAAGGGTTTGCTCCCCACACCGGAGCTCGCGCTATTCCGCCGACTTTACTTGACACTTGACTGACTCACGACTGCCATCCAGAGCACACGAGAAGTCCATCGAACCTTCGACTCGGCAAACCTGCAAGAAAGCACCACTCCCTGCTCAATACACAGTGTTTCGGGGAATTCACCCCTCATCACTTGAGCTTTAGTAGGCTGAGGAAGATTGTGCCTGAAGAGCACCACTTATATAGTGCTCTCCAGGCACAAACATCACCAGGAATACAAACTTACAGAGACGCTTCGTTTCCAGCGCGACAAACACCTCGTGAACACCAGGTGTAAACGGCCAACGAAAGTGGAGACGGATTCCTCCGGCCCTTGTTTGAGCTGCCGGAATTTGTGACGTTCTGACGTCGTATTGATGGTGGGACGGAAGTGTGCCAGAACGGCGTCCGTCAGTGCTACGTATTCGTCTCCAGGAGAACCATCATCATTTGCTGGCGGAGAAGGAATAACTAGACCCTTCACAACTTTGCGAACTGAGAGTCCGGCCAAATTTAAAAATAAATACTTTTTGTCAGCAGCAGTGGAAACATTACAAATTGCTAAGCAGTCATTGACATCCTCGAGCCAAAGCTCAAAATCGGCCCCGATGTCGCCCGCGTAATCGGGTACAAAATCCTTGGGCACTCTGCCCTTCATTGTCATCTTGACCTGTTCACTGCGCCAATGTAGACGGACAACACTACAACAATACAAGTCTGGAGGTAGCCATTGCAGGCTTCGTCTTCAAGCTCTGCGAGTGCTCTACTGCAAGCATGCACGCATGCGCACACTATACAGATGTACATGATTACATCACTACAAGCTGTAGTGGGAAGAAAGTTATTGGTCTTTGTACACCAAGATAAGATGTTCACTCCATTACCTGCTTCCTTTTATTTGCTCTACTCTACACTACTCTACAGGAACTTGTCACACAACAGTATCATGCATTTGCCCTCGAATGCATTTGTTCTATTGCCCCAACTTGGAACTTTGTAAGATTATAATGATGATGCGACAGGGAGAGAGAGATAGAGAAAGATGGAGAGAGAGAGAGAGAGAGAGAGAGAGAGAGAGAGAGAGAGAGAGAGAGAGAGAGAGAGAGAGAGAGAGAGAGAGAGAGAGAGAGAGAGAGAGAATGAGAGAGAGAGAATGAGAGAGAGAGAATGAGAGAGAGAGAATGAGAGAGAGAGAGAGAATGAGAGAGAGAGAATGAGAGAGAGAGAATGAGAGAGAGAGAATGAGAGAGAGAGAGAGAGAGAGAGAGAGAGAGAGAGAGAGAGAGAGAGAGAGAGAGAGAGAAAGAGAGAGAGAGAGAGAAAGAGAGAGAGAGAAAGAGAGAGAGAGATGGGGAGAGATAAATAGAAAATAGTGTGAAGTGTCTCATCGGTTTTGCCTTCCGTGATACATGTGATTGTCTGGATATGCTGAACTTCCCCAAATATAAGTCGCACTTTTTTACACTTAATTTCACCTTTTTGCACTTAATTTCACCTTTTTACACTTGATTTCATGGCCAACAGAGGGAGTTCGACTTACAATCGAACATGACTTACTAGTGCAGTGAATATGATTATCACAATGAGATAACACGTAACTATAATGGGGGGGGGGGGGTACGACTTGCAATCGGGGAAACACGGGACTAGATTAGTAGAATGCCAAGCATGCTCTTTCTTGCTTATGAATGTGTCGTCTTTTGTTTGTGCAGAGATCTGTCGAATAACAGATTTCCCCGCTTTCGAGGATTCCTTGAACTACCAGCGTTGACTGTCTTGTAAGTTGCTTGCATCACAAAGCACTGATAAAAGTGGTATACATCAGCAGATTAGACCAAACTGTGGGCACGTGAAAAATCAAATGAAGCACTCCAGCTATACACACGGTGGTTTTCGCTTGGAATTGATATCTTCAGATGTTTGCCCGCCACGCCCAGCTTGCGAAATAATTTCCACCGGAAAAGTTCAGAGCGTGCTTTAAAAGCTCAGATGACAACTTCTACACGTGTTGCACTGGAATTAAAAGGACAATAAGAAAAAATCTATCGGAGAGAAAAGGGAGCAAGAAACTACAAGTTACGCTATAATGTCCACTGACACCACCAGTTACATGTACTATACAATCAGCTCATGCGATAACATTGCACGACACTGACCGACGGTACTGAAGTTCTACAACTAACTGGCTAACAGCTCTAGCACATCTTGGATGTGCACTCCAACAGCCTTCCAACTTGGAAGGTTCTAAGTTATAGAAATAGCATGAGGAGGGGAATCTTTTTTCTTTACTATAAATCTATCCTTGGCTCTCCATCCGATTCCTTTCTTGCACGCAATGAATAGCGTTAATAACATTCTTATCTCCACGGAGGCTTTTTTGTTGTTGTTGCCGTTTTGTTTTCTTTAGAGTCGATAAACAATCAGGAAAGTTTGCTTAATAAAAACAAGTCAAAAAAACCCCGGCTGCGTCTCGGTTTTTATACAGGTTTTTATCTCCTATAAAAACTCAGCCTTGGCAGCAGTCCTGTAGTTGAGTCTTACCTGTTTTCTCTTGGTCTGCAATGGTGTTATTTACAGAAATTTCTCTCACGGTTTTGGAAGCGTCAACACGATTGAGACGGAGACGTTCTACAACATGTCATTTCTCACCAAGCTGTAAGTCAGTGGAAAGTGACAGTGATATTTTGCATGCTGCCGTTGTTCAAGTTCAAGTTCGTGCTTTTAGTTTTTCTTCCGTTCATCGCACATGCAAAGTGGACCAAGGTGTTTCCCAACATAATACATACACTCACAAAAGGAAACAAGACTGTCCTATAGCATTATAGAATCCTGAATGAAAAGACGACCGTCTTTAGACAGACTCAGTTTTCTTGTACTGATCTTCAACTAAATAGTTGGCTCGAAGACAAGCCAGATTTATATGGAGGCCGAGCCATCACCCTCAACTTAAACTCTACCGAACTTGCCTGTCTTTCAGATTTGTTATGTTTTTGAGATATTGATGCTAACGCTGACCTCCTCTTTATCTGTGCACCCTGCCCACATAGTGACCTCTCAAACAATAAACTATCCAGAATTCAATCGCGAGCTTTTGTTGGCCTGGAGAGTGTGACAGAAATGTAAGTCCATGTGATAGTTCTAGCTTTGATCACTTATGGAATGTGCCTTGCCAGAGTGCTCAAGCGGACAAGTCAGTGAGCTCCATGTAATGAAAAACAGAAAACTGGTACAGGTCTACTCTCCATATAACGTAATCTCTGGGACCACGCACAAATTATGTTATATCGAGAGTTATGTTATGTAGAAAACCGTGTGTAAAATACAAGATGTACCTCAAAATGAAGGGTATTACAAGGCGGGTTCAACCGTGCAAACATATACACACTGTACCACCATCGACATCAGATACCATCAATGCCGCAGAATATATGCACAATAGGACTAAACTGGCTAGCTACGGCTACAGCTTGATCGTACCACGCAAGTGAATCTACGTTGTATCGAGAGTGCGCACGTCGGGGACCGCGCCACAGGGTGCGTTATGCCGAGGTTTACGTTATGTATGACTAAACTGGCTAGCTACAGCTACCGCTTGATCGTACCGTGCACGTGAATTTATGTTGTATCGAGAGTGCGCACGTCGGGGACCGCGCCGTAGCGTGTGTTATGTCGAGGTTTATGTTATGTAGGATTATGTTGTGTAGAACAAAATTTGTATGGGAGTGATGCTGTTTCGGCGCGGGATCTGATTTTTTTACTTACTAGCGAGGTTTATGTACAAGTGAGAGTTGTTATATCGAGAGCAGACCTGTACTAGTATAAAACCGGAACCGATTTCGGTGGAAATCTATATTCTGTCATTTCGGTACAGCGAATTTTGACCAAAAATAAAAGCTAAACTTTTCTAATTGTCCGCAAACTCCAACGCAGCCACTTGCACATTTGGGAAACTTCACTTCTCAACTCCAAACTCCAAAAACGATCTCTTCACTGCGATTCAAATTCACATTTACATTACAGCAATTTTTCGGCCCTGGCCCTGATGACATTGGCCCATCATCAGCGTAATGAATAAATCGAAAAAATATTTTACAACAATACAGCAAGGAAGAATTGATACTTCAAGCCCAATGCCGTCGAGACTACATCAATAGCCACACAAACGTACTGGACGTCAATGCCTTTGAACAGACCCAGACGATTCACCGAAAATCATGCCATAGCCTGCCCAACAAAGGATAGGGTCAACGCTTAAAAAAAATAGACATGCGTGGGGAAATGGGATTTCGGCCTTTGACCACTGGTTGGTGGATCTGATCTATCCTTCCCCGCGGTTTAGGAGCCGCACATCTGATGGCTGATCATGGGGTGGCGGCGTCCCACTGAAGCGGAAAGGTGGTTCTTGACCCACCCTGTACGCGAACCCATGCAATTTCTGTACAATTCCGTGCTACACAAATGTACGTTTACAGCATTTCAACTCCTCATGAAGGTCAAACAGAATTGCTCTTCTCATAGCAATAAAAATGCTTCTATTACGTTTTAACTGCATGCTTGCATTTCCTGTGCTCTCCTCTACAGAGATCTGTCAAACAGCACGATATCGGCGTTACCGGCAGATACGTTTGTGATGCTGCCGAACCTTACAACTCTGTAAGATGTCTCTCAGTGCAGTGCGCAGGACAACTGGATTGTGTAGATTTGTGTGTACAGAGCACATTGCTGGAATTAGTATTATTATTATTCAAAGGATCAATCGGGGAAGTGAACTGCCTGAAAAGAGAAAAAAACGCCAGACCCACCAGGACTCGAACCTGGGACCCTGCTTGTCATGAGCAATGCTCTAACCACTGAGCTATGGGACCAGGCTGAACCTAGAAGGCGCTGACAAGTGTTTCACTCCAAAGGCAGCTCACAACACGTGCCACACATACTGATGGCACTTGGGTCTTTTTCCCTCCCCCAGGGGACCAACCACGGTCAGTTTCTGGAAACTACCAGAGGTGAAAGAAAGTGATTAAATTTGGAAAGGATTGGGATAACTTCAAATTCAAAGGATCAATCGGGGAAGTGAACTGCCTGAAAAGAGAAAAAAACGCCAGACCCACCAGGACTCGAACCTGGGACCCTGCTTGTCATGAGCAATGCTCTAACCACTGAGTTATGGGACCAGGCTGAACCTAGAAGGCGCTGACAAGTGTTTCACTCCAAAGGCAGCTCACAACACGTGCCACACATACTGATGGCACTTGGGTCTTTTTCCCTCCCCCAGGGGACCAACCACGGTCAGTTTCTGGAAACTACCAGAGGTGAAAGAAAGTGATTAAATTTGGAAAGGATTGGGATAACTTCAAATTCAAAGGATCAATCGGGGAAGTGAACTGCCTGAAAAGAGAAAAAACGCCAGACCCACCAGGACTCGAACCTGGGACCCTGCTTGTCATGAGCAATGCTCTAACCACTGAGCTATGGGACCAGGCTGAACCTAGAAGGCGCTGACAAGTTTTTCACTCCAAAGGCAGCTCACAACACGTGCCACACATACTGATGGCACTTGGGTCTTTTTCCCTCCCCCAGGGGACCAACCACGGTCAGTTTCTGGAAACTACCAGAGGTGAAAGAAAGTGATTAAATTTGGAAAGGATTGGGATAACTTCAAATTCAAAGGATCAATCGGGCCGTGGTTGGTCCCCTGGGGGAGGGAAAAAGACCCAAGTGCCATCAGTATGTGTGGCACGTGTTGTGAGCTGCCTTTGGAGTGAAAAACTTGTCAGCGCCTTCTAGGTTGGCTACAAGCGAGGGTCCCTGGTTCGAGTCCTGGTGGTGACAGTCAATTTTTTCTTCAGACTTTTCCCGTTTGTCTCTTTCCCTCAAAACCAGTTAATATTTTATGACTTGGGGCTCCCCGCGTGCTAGTTTGTACGTGAAGTGTGTGGGTACAGTGAGGGCTGCGTCCCACCCGCCTGTGTGGATTCACAGGAAGTGTGAGTTACGAAGTCTGAAGAAAACGTTGAACGGTCTCTGCTTGGATGACGACTACACCATAGCTCAGTGGTAAGAGCATCGCTGGCTACAAGCGAGGGTCCCTGGTTCGAGTCCTGGTGGTGACAGTCAATTTTTTCTTCAGACTTTTCCCGTTTGTCTCTTTCCCTCAAAACCAGTTAATATTATTATTATTATTATTATTTTCGTAATAAGTATTCGCATGCAACGACGCAAATCCACACAATTCAGTAGACACTTCTTTTCTATCAAACGTTTTTCTTTCCCTTCTCTTCAGGATAGTACAGGGAATGTTGTAAATTTGAAAAAACACATAACTATATAGAGAATGAAAGAAAGAAAAAAGTCAACACTTCAACATAGGTGTTAAAATGATTAAAGTGTTAAAAACTCAAAAACAAACAGCTGCAAGTTGTAGACAACACGTTGAACACATCAGGGAACACTTGTCACACTTTCACGAGGTGTGACACCAACAACTGCAACGATAACACAGTCTCCTTCTGTACACATAGTTCTGGATCTAGTTTACGAATATACAGAGCTTCTAACACAGCAAGATGTAACTTAGACCTTCCACGAGTCAAAATCGAAAAGATATCATCACTATACAACTTACGACAACTAGCACTGCCCGACAAATGACGCTTGATGGACGATGTCCGATCACTTAGCTCTGTCACCTTCGACGCCTGCCGTTGTTCTCTTCCGTTAGGCTTGTTTGGTTGGTTGCTCCGGTCCACACCTCCAACGTCCGTTGATTTCATGTCCGTTTTTGTTGATTTCATGGCCGTTTTCGTTTCACTTCTTGAACTATGTGTACAGAAGGAGAATGTGTTATCGTTGCAGTTGTTTGGTGTCACACCTCGTGAAAGTGTGACAAGTGTTCCCTGATGTGTTCAACGTGTTTGTCTACAACTTGCAGCTGTTTGTTTTTGAGTTTTTAACACTTTTTATCATTTTAACACCTATGTTGAAGTGTTGACTTTTTTCTTTCTTTCATTCTCTATATAGTTATGTGTTTTTCAAATTTACAACATTCCCTGTACTATCCTGAAGAGAAGGGAAAGAAAACGTTTGATAGAAAAGAAGTGTCTACTGAATTGTGTGGATTTGCGTCGTTGCATGCGAATACTTATTACGAAACTGTTTTCCCACCGCCTCCAAACTACTGTTTGAATTATTATTTAATATATTATTATTATTTTACTAACGAAGGTACGTGTTGGGTCGTAAGTATCCACGCAAACACACATCCAGTCAAAATAAGGCGCTTGTCAAAGTATCCGAACGTTTTCGGTCCCTTCTCATCAAGGATTATACAGGGAATGGCTCAAGTTGGAAAGACTAAAACTTATATAGCGTAAAGATATGAGATAACAACACTCGTGACAAGGTGGAAAAAGTATCAAGTTCAGCACGACACAAAACTCGAACGAAATAATAATAGCGACAAAAACATAGTGAGCAAATTAAGTTACATTGTTAACACCTCGACGAGGAGTAACACCAAACAATTGTAGCGACAACACATTTTCTTTCTGTACGCAAAGTTTAGGATCTAACTTACGGATATACAAAGCTTCTAACACAGCCAGATGCAACGCACATCTACCACGTGACAATATTGAGAACACATTATCACTGTACAACTCACGACAATTGGTACGGGCTGACAGATGTTGCTTGATGGACGAAGTGCGATTCTTAGCTCCGTTGGGTGTAGTCTCCTCCAATGTCCCGTCATCTCGCCTCTTCGCGGCATCACCACTATCCCTCTCTTTGCTTTTCCGCGGCCTTCCACGTTTTCTGACACTAGCCGTTGTGTGCGCGATGCCCAGTGTCCTTTCAGCTACGTCTCCTCCATTGCGGATTTCTATTGATCTTCTTACTCCAACTTGTCCGGTGTTCGATATTGAGGTTCGTTTTCGCGGTCTACCACGTTTTCGAATATTGACTGTTGTTGTCACTTCCGTTGTCGTTGTACGTGCGTCCTCACCAGACCGTATTTTTTTAGCAAAGAGAGGGATAGTGGTGATGCCGCGAAGAGGCGAGATGACGGGACATTGGAGGAGACTACACCCAACGGAGCTAAGAATCGCACTTCGTCCATCAAGCAACATCTGTCAGCCCGTACCAATTGTCGTGAGTTGTACCGTGATAATGTGTTCTCAATATTGTCATGTGGTAGATGTGCGTTGCATCTGGCTGTGTTAGAAGCTTTGCATATCCGTAAGTTAGATACTGAACTTTGCGTACAGAAAGAAAATGTGTTGTCGCTACAATTGTTTGGTGTTACTCCTCGTCGAGGTGTTAACAATGTAACTTAATTTGCTCACTATGTTTTTGTCGCTATTATTATTTCGTTCGAGTTTTGTGTCGTGCTGAACTTGATACTTTTTCCACCTTGTCACGAGTGTTGTTATCTCATATCTTTACGCTATATAAGTTTTAGTCTTTCCAACTTGAGCCATTCCCTGTATAATCCTTGATGAGAAGGGACCGAAAACGTTCGGATACTTTGACAAGCGCCTTATTTTGACTGGATGTGTGTTTGCGTGGATACTTACGACCCAACACGTACCTTCGTTATTAAAGTATTATCCGCCTCCGACTTCTTGTAAAATTATTATTATTATTATTATTATTATTCTACGCATTCCCGCGTTGAAGTATAGCAGCAGTATGCTGCGTTCACAGCTTCGCTTATGCAGAATGACTTGGGTGAGAGGAGAGGGGAGAAAAAGCAACAAGGCAACCAACATCAGTGATTGCACAAGAATGGAGACGACAAATGGCTATAATCATTGTGCCACAAAACCGGTACGTAGGAGATCTGTCGACAATGTAACGAAACATAAAACTCAGTTACTCAATACAGGTTCCACTAAATTACAAGAGAACAACGCTACAACATTATAATTGCCGCTAGATTATCGCAAGTGTAGAGAACGAGTCCAATACAAATGAAAACCATGAACAGACTGTCCCAAATTTATTTTGGGAACAAATTGTACTACATATACTGCATTGCAGGAATAGAAGAGCATAATCATTATAATATTATTGATTGTAATGAGTATTGACTCAACATCCGAGTTTTATAATGAGCACGCAAAGGTTGAATTTCAATATCAACCATGTCATGCTTGGGAAGAGAACTAAAATGTCAAAGACATCTGAAGAATCGTTTACCCTTTTGATGGCAAAGTTTGCGAAGACAACTAAATGAGTAGCCTTCAAAGATAAAGAGAACTGACGATTTCTGCTCTACACTTTTTGTCTTCACCAGGCACTTACAGAACAACTCTCTCTGGCGGCTTCCCGCAGGCTTCTTCAGCGGCATACCAAAGCTAAGTAGAATGTAAGTGTACCTTCCCCCTTAGATGCTATATTGTCCAATAACACCATCAACTACTTGACAAACAGCTCAGGTGATAACTTGACACTGACCGACAGTCCTGACGTTCTACAACTATTTGCCAATGAACACGTCTTGGACATGCACCCAACAGCCTTCAAGCTTGGAAGGTTCCGGCTAAGTTCCAGTAATATCATAGGAGGGGAAGCAGCCTTTAGACTTTCAGCTTGTGCTTGTCTTGGTCTCGCACAACGACGACTTCGATGCACATGTGAAACTCACGTGCACTATCTGCCCAGTGCATGACACAATTCTGGACCATCTTGCAATACTATTGCATGCAGTCTGTTTTTTTGTCATTTCCTCCTTCTTTCTTGTTTTACAAATTGGGTATGGGTGCGTGGTTTCAAGTAAAAAAATTAATAATAAATGCGCAGTATAGTCCTTGCTGATTTGTTGCTGTGGACTAGTTATTCTCGTTACGTTGGGCTGTTGTTCAGCAAGTGACGCTTCGAGGTGGCTTTTCTCCGTAATTTGTTTATTGTTTTAAGGATTCCCCAAAGGCATTCGCCTATCGAGGGGTTTCTAAACTTTCCACAATACCAAATCTGTAAAAGAAGTGATGAGCAATAGGTGAGCAAAGAAAGAGATAAAGACATCTTCATTCGAGTTTCTGCAAAGGCAGAAATTATTCCCATGATATCAGAATCTCAGTGCTGGTAGCGTAGCGAAAAAGCATATGAAGGTGCTTCGTGTGTGCTTATCTGACACGTGGTTGGATTGGCGGCTACGTAGTTCATGGCCAATTTAGAGTTCGAAATGTGATTGAATATTTCCCCAAAGTGATTTTTGTGGATAACTTTATTCAAGACCACTTGTTGGCGCTTGGGGACATATTGAAGCAGATTTTGGTGGTGGTCTACCCCAAAATTCAGGACATAACCTCGCTGCTACTGGCCCTTGAACATGGCCTTCGTAATGGCCATCATTGGACAGGCTGAATTGATCGATTCGTTCGAGGGACTCAGCAAATCGCCAGTCCAAATTTGGATGGCTAAAACATTACTAGACTTGAACTTGGATGGGTGTGCAACCGTGCAACCGTGCAACCGTGCAACCGTGCAACCGTGCAACCGTGCAACCGTAGTTGATTTGGCAGCACTGTGTTGCTGTGAGCAGCATTGACCCCAGTTTCTTGTACCTTGTTCCAGTGCGTATTTTAGACCATTTCCTGATTTTGCCCA